CCCGCTCCTTCTCCCTACACTGGTCCTACTGGAGGTCTTGCTGAGCGTCGTGAGCCTGCGTCTCGCCCTGCGTCGCCTGTCCGTGCTGCTCGCGCTAGTGCTCGTGGTTCGCGTCAGCGTCCTCCTCCTGTCCCTGGCACGCACCGGATGTCTCTGCGTCCGTCCACTGCTCCTCTGCGTGCCCCTTTGCCTTCTCCTCCTGAGTCCTCTCTTCCTGCTCTTCCTGACCCGGAGTCGGACTCTCTTCGTGCTGCCAGTCCTACTGTCACGCGTCTCCTTGCTACTGTTGTCACTGACCCTTCCTTTGAGTCCACTGCTGCGTCTGCCCTAGTTACAGAGCTCGTCGACTTTGCTGCTCGCTGTCGCCTAGACTACGCTGCTAGTCTTGTTGCTGAGTCTGAGTCTGTCTGTCCTCCGTCCGTCGGGGGTGAGTGTGCCCTTGGCACGGACGTCCTTGAGGACAGGCAGGAGGAGTTCCAGTGTTTGGCTGCTGCTTCACCACATCTCGTGTCCGTACTGCTTACCCCTGAGGGAGACCCGGATGCACTTGACATCCCGACTCCGCGCTCTTACGCGGAGGCGATAGAGGGTCCCTACTCCTCTCAGTGGCAGGCAGCTATTGACACAGAGATGGCTTCCTGGAAGTCCACAGGCACCTACGTTGACGAGGTTCCCCCGCCTGGGGCGAACATCGTCAGTGGCATGTGGATTTTCAGGGTGAAGCGGCCGCCGGGTTCTCCGTCTGTCTTCAAGGCGCGTTACGTGGCTCGTGGCTTCAGTCAGCGGCAGGGAGTTGACTACTTTCAGACCTTCTCTCCCACCCCGAAGATGACCACTCTTCGGGTACTGCTGCACATAGCTGCTCACCGCGACTACGAGCTGCACTCTCTTGACTTCAGCACTGCTTTCTTGCAGGGCAGCCTGCACGAGGAGATCTGGCTGCGTCGCCCACCTGGCTTCACTGGGTCTTTTCCTCCTGGCACCCAGTGGAGCCTCCGGCGGCCAGTCTACGGTCTCCGCCAGGCACCGCGTGAGTGGCACGACACACTGAGGACTACACTTGCGGCTCTTGGGTTTGCTCCCTCTACTGCCGACCCGTCGCTGTTTCTGCGCACCGACACTTCTTTGCCGCCGTTCTACATCCTCGTGTACGTCGACGACTTGGTCTTTGCCACAGCTGACACTGCTGGACTCGCCCACGTGAAGTCCGAGCTGCAGAAGAGACACACGTGCACAGACCTGGGTGAACTGCGCAGCTACCTTGGCTTGCAGATCACCCGGGACAGAGCACGCCGCACCATTACCCTGACTCAGTCACACATGGTGCAGCAGGTCCTTCAGCGCTTCGGCTTCACGTACTCCTCGCCTCAGGCCACTCCTCTGCCTACTCGCCACTCGCTCTCAGCTCTGCCTTCGGATGAGTCCGTAGAGTCGAGTGGCCCGTACCCAGAGCTTGTTGGCTGCCTCATGTACCTGATGACCTGCACACGACCTGACCTTGCATACTCTCTTAGCATTCTTGCACGCTATGTTGCTCCTGGGAGACACAGACCGGAGCACATGGCTGCAGCGAAGAGGGTGTTGCGCTACTTGTGCAGTACGTCGGGCATGGGGCTTGTGCTTGGAGGGCAGATTCCAGTGGTCCTCACTGGACACGCAGACGCTTCTTGGGCTGACGACCAGGCTACGCAGCGGTCGTCACAGGGTTACACCTTCAGCCTTGGTTCCGGCTCTGTTTCGTGGCGGGCTACTCGCTCGTCTTCTGTTCTCGGCTCCAGTTGTGAGGCTGAGATCTACGCCGGGGCCATGGCTGCACAGGAGCTTCGCTGGCTCACCTACCTGCTGACTGACCTCGGAGAGCCGCCTCGTTCTCCTCCAGTGCTCTACGTAGACAACAAGGCCATGCTGGCCTTGTGTCGAGAGCAGAGACTGGAGCACAGAACGAAGCACATTGCTCTTCGCTGCTTCCTTGCTCGTGAGCTACAGCAGCGTGGTCAGCTGCGACTTGCGTACGTGGCCTCTGAGGCCAACACTGCTGATATCTTCACCAAGGCACTTGCGCCTTGTGATCATCAGCGCTTCTGTACTCAGCTGGATCCTGTACCTACCTTGCCTCACTTGCTCACCTCTTGACCTTGTTTGTACTGTTGCATATATATATACTCCTGCTCTTGCTTGTCTAGCCTTATATATATATGTAATCCTGCATGTGAACTGGCCTTGTGGCCTTGAACTTGTGCTCGGAATGTGTGGTGACTTTGTGATCCACCCTGAGCTTGCTTTGCTTTGCTTGACTGGTCTTGTGACCCCTTGTTCTCCCCCACTTTGCCTATGGGGGTGTGTCAGAGTTATATGACATAGCTACTGTAGGCTACAGTGGGGTAGCACATATGGGGTACAGTTGCCTAGGGTTTGCCTTTTGTACCCAACTTTCACTTAGTCATTTCATTCCTGTTTTCTTGATTCACACACCCGTACCCCTTCTCCTACGTCGCCCACCAGTCGAGCTCGGGACAGCGGCTACTGGTTCCGTAGGTGTCGCACGGAGTGGTGCCGATGATGAGGACGGCTGGTTTGGAGCTTGCGGTGTTGAGGGAGGGGTCGTTGTCGAAATCGGCTCTACCGCAACAGGTATGGATTGCGCCGTCGAAGGGACTTCTGTCGGTGCCCCCCCCACTTCGACGTTGACTGACTGGCCCGTCGAGCATTGGCCCGTCGCAACCGGCCGAACCACCACTGGTATGGATCGTGACGTCCTGGGTGGCGCTGTAGATACCGGTACGGCTCGTGACGTCGAGTGTGGTGCTGTCGAGCCCGGTATGGCTCGTGGCGTCGAGTGTGGTGCTGTCGAGCCTGGTATGGCTTCTGACGTCGAGTGTGTTGCTGTCGACACCGGTATGGCTCCTGACGTCGAGATGGTTTCAACGTCGACAGGTAGCGGTCTCTCCTCTGCCTGCCGGGAAGGCGTTGTCCTTGACGGATCGTTCTCCATCAGTGCCTAGCAGAAAGCTCTCATCACCCTAAACCGTTGCCCTAACAGACAAAGACGACCTTACTGATTAAACCAGCTTTGGATTTAATCTATTCCGTAGTTGGGGTGTTAACCCGTCGCTTACGGATGACCGCTGGCCCTTGTCCTTTGACGTGGCCGTCATCTGGTAACGTGACCCACTTGATGGCGACCCACGTAACCCGTCGCCCGTCCGACAGCGACGCCTCGCTCGACCGACAAACTGCTCGGTCGACCGCAATTGACGGCGCCGTCGATTGTGACAGTCGGCCGGTTGCGAAACCCGTTACCACTCACATCGACCGTCAGCGCGGCCTGTCAGGCGACGTCCTTGGCGACGTCAGGCGATGTAACCAGTCTTGTCGGGGGTGCACGGTGCTCGACGGCGATTGGCCGATGCCCGTCGAGCACTGCTCGATAAATGTCCCCGAAATTGCAACAGTGCGGCTGACATATATATGCGCATAAGAATACTACATTGAGACGGAGGGATTTGGAGGGTTTTTTTGCCTGGTCTGGAGGGAATTTTGGGGGGACCGGAGGGATTCGGAGGGTTTTTCCGTTTGCCCCGAAATCCCTCTGTGCCAGGGCGGGCGGGGCGGCATGTGCTGACGTCACCCTTCCCTATATAACTGGAGTGAGTACCACACACATGCCTGCCACATGTCCACGTCACATATTCTTCACGAATCACAGCTGCCAATACCAGTCCAGCCAATCCAACAAATTCCTCGATTTTTGCTGCGACCAGACCGAGGGGCAGTGAGTGGACCGATTTTTGGAAGGACAAGAACTGATTACGAATCACCTGAATGAACTGTTTTTGAAACTACTGGAACCGCTGCTTTAACAGCATTATGGCTAATAGACCGCAGTCCGCAAACAAGGTTTGATGTTTGACGTGCCCTAGGTGTCTGACCTGTACAGTACCAAGGATACTGAATTGACAACAGTGCAGCGGACAACGAGACAATGCTCGCCTCCCTTCTCCTCGCCGCCTCCCTTCCCATCCCCTCACGTCAATGAACTCCCACCAGATCTGTCTTTTTGTTGGATGTAACAAGGGGAATCTGCATACCTTCAATCAAGGGTTTAGCTGTTCGTCTAGGCTTGTAGTATTCCGTAATTCTCGACTCCATCCTTGGATCATGCTCGTCGCTCTCTCGTAGCCTTTGGTTTCGTTGAAGCCATGCGAGAGCTGGCGAGTCACCGCCAGCGTGAATGGCTTCCATGTCGAATCTGATCTTCTTCCAAGAGCATCGCCGATTTTAAGCCCGGATTGTCCTGATTTTCAAGAGACTCTGGAAACGTGGATAAGGCTTCACAGCTGGGCTCTGCGCGTTGGTGGACCGCCGGACTTTCAGCTCATAAGGTGTGAGTTCGCCGTTCCTTCATTCTTCAGAAAGCGAGCTTCCAAGGCTTGCGTGTACGTCCTGATGCATTCTTAGGTAACGACTGGCTGGATGCGCGTCTGCCTTCGTTGAGCCCCCAGAGTTTATGTAACAAAAGTCGCGAATCTCGTTCAAGCGTCGTGTCACATGTCCTGCGGCCGTTAGATACGCACAACGAACGCACGGATGGGAACGTGCTCGAGGAGAGCTGGTGGTTTTGCAGAAAAGGTTGTCCCGATGAGTGAGATCAGGGAAGAGACTGGGCGTTAAGAGGATTTGTTGTCCGCTTTATGATGTTGACATAGGGAGGAAGTTAGGCACCTAAGAGCTGAGTGTGGGATCGTGCACGGATCGCTGCTATCGCTGGACGAGTTTGCATGGGATTCGCGCCTTTTGATCTGAGCACTAGTCATGCTTGTCCATATTGCTTCATGTCTTGTCCTCAAACGTCTCACAACACCATGGTCCTCTGCTTTAAAAATCATTTTTGCTCCCTTCTCTCGTCACGCCACCGCTTCTGTAACGCCCTCATCCTCCTTCGCCCCCCCCCCCCGCAACCATGATCAGCGGAAACTCCTGCTCGACTTGCGCTTGTTGAAATGCAGCCATGGCTTCTTCAGCTGCCCGCTGCCCGCCGGCGCACTCTCGCGCTCGGCGCAGCGTTGCTGGTGGGCGGGGGGGGCGCAGCAGCGGTCGCTTATTACAGATCCGTCGCCGTCGCGGCAGCCGTTCGGCGCAGGGAAGCAAGAGCGGCGCTGGCGCACACTGGCGCGTCAGGGGAACAGGTGGAGGGGGAAGCGGCGGCGCTGATTGAGGGGGCGGGGGACGAGGATGGCAGGCGCAAGAAGGCTTCGCGGAAGGGCAAGGGGGGGGAGGGCGGCGGAGCGGAGAAAGGGCGTCGGCGGAAGAAGGGGGGAGGGATGGCCTCGGTTGGCGCTATATGCAGCTTTCTGGCTGCGAGGATGGGCGAGAAGGGGTGGCAGCGGCTTGCTGCCTTAGCTGCCATAGCAGTAAGCGATCCGCGATTTACTTTTCTCGTTGTCATAACCTCAGCCAAGCCGTAGCCATAGGTATAGCTATAGCCACAGCGATATTCCTTTGCAACGATCGGCTGTGGTGTTTTCGATTGGCCTTCTCACGTCCCCTTCAGAGAGCCCTTCCACTGTTGCTGCGTGCGCACCCCGATCCTCCTCCCCGTGCCAACACCCTCCCCATATCCTCATCTCACCCCTCTCATCGCCTTCTTCACAATCTCCCGTCTCTCGCTTCCCGTCTCCCTCCCCCCATCTCCCACCTCCCCCCATCTCCCACCTCCCCCCCGCCATTCCCCCCACCTCCCCCCCGCCATTCCCCCCACCTCCCCCCCCCTTCCCCGCCAGGTGGTGCGCACGGTGCTGAGCAACCGTTTGGCGCGCGTGCAGGGGCTGCTGTTCCGGTCGACGTTCCTGCGCAATGTGCCCCAGTTCACGCGCCTGATCACGGAGAACCTGCTGCTGTGCCTCGCGCACTCGCTCATCTTCTCCTCCTCTAAGTTCCTCACCGGCAGCCTGTCGCTGCAGTGGCGCTCGCTGCTCACTGCCGCCATTCACAAGCTCTATTTCAAAGTAGGGGGGTGGGGGGGGATGTTGTTGCGCGTGCGGGGAGATGGGGCGGTGGGAGGGGGAATGTATCTCAGCATGTGGGGGGGGTGTTTGCGGCGCAACATACACTGCTTTCTACCTAGCCATTCCCTCAACGAGCCCTTTCTCTCAACCGCCCCCAAAATATCTTTCCCTCAAGTTGTTAACCCTATCTCTCTCTTCCGCCGCATGTCGCATGTGCACAAGGGCATGAGCAACGTGTGGATAGTACATCACATACTGCTTCCTTCCCTTCCAGTCAGCCCTTTCCTCGCTCTCTCCGCAACCCACCCCCTCCACTTTCCCCCAGGGCATGGTGTACTATTGCATGTCGCCCGTGGACAAGCGAGTGGACAGGCTCTCCAATCGTCTCTTGCCTCGCTCCCCTTCCCTTCCCCCTCCCCGTTCCCCCCTCCCTTCCTCCTTCTCCAGGGCATGGTGTACTATCGCATGTCGCACATGGACAAGCGCGTGGACAGCGCATTAAATAGTGCATTCTCCTGCTTCCCTCTCCCCCTCTTCCATCTTTTCCCATCTCCAACCTCCCCCCTCCAGGGCATGGTGTACTACCGCATGTCGCACGTGGACAAGCGAGTGGACAGTGCGGAGCAGCGCATAGTGAGCGACGTGCCGCACATCTGCAACGAGCTCGCGGACCTGCTGCACGACCTGCTCGTTGCCGCCACTGACGCCACCTTCTACACCTACTCGCTCACCACCTACACGCACCCCAAATACGCTGGCGGGATCCTGGTCAGTGTGTGGGGGGGGTGTTTGGCGGGTTGGAGAGAACGGGGAAAGGTTGAATGGGTGGTGGGGGGGTGTGGTGTTGGATATGGTGTAGAAGGTAGCATGCTTTGATGGGTACTCAACCAGATGGCTCGGCCTTAAGGTTGGGAGGTCCCCCCTCCATGTGGTGAGTAGCCATCCCTCCCCATCTCCGCTCCCCACCTCCCTATCCCCGCCCCCCAGGGCTACGTCCTGGCTGCGGGAGCCCTCACGAGCGCGCTCGCCCCGCCCTTTGGCAAGCTCCTGGGAAAGGAGCAGCAGCAGGAGGGCGAGTACCGGCAGCTGCACGCGCGCGTGCGCACACACAGCGAGAGCATCGCATTCTACGGAGGCCACGGCCGAGAGGGCGCTCTCATCTCCCAGGCGTTTTCGGCCCTCGTGAAGCACAGCGCTGGCGTGTTACGGACGCAGTGGTGGTTCGGGATAGTGCAGGACTTTCTGCTGAAGTACTGTGGGGCTACCTGGGCAGTGGTGCTGATCATAGGGCCGTTTTTTGGTGCAAGTATGCAGACGCAGGGGTCGAGGGAGGCGCGTGCGGAGATGCTGTCTCGCATGCGGTACCACACGTCCGTGGTCATTGCGCTGTTCCAAGCCATGGGTACTATTGCAGGCAGCTCCAGGCGAATCATCCGGCTCAGGCAAGTGGGTTCAGTTGAGACGGTCTTATGGATGTGCAGGATCCGTGGGTTGAGACGGCTCCAGCCAAGTGGCTTGGGACGGATCTGTATAAACTGCTCTGAGAAGCATATGGCTTAGGCAAGTCGTAGTGGGATCACATGGGAGTTGAGTGTGTTTGAGTTTTCCAGGACTTGGGCCTTTTATTATGAGGCAAAAGTTATGTTAATTGGTCCTTTATCTCTCACGCACCACTGTGTTTCCTCTCCTCTCCCTCGTCCCCTCCCCACCACTGCAGTGGTTATGCAGACCGCATTTGTGAGCTCATGCAAGTGGCAAAAGACTTGAGTCAGCAAGACGCGCACATGCACACTCAGGAAGACGGAGCAGAAGGAGCAGGAAGACGAATCAGCGAGGGGGAGAGTCATACACAGGTCCTGGCAAAGGCAGGGAAGGCGGCGCAAGGGGATGGGGACGGGGAGGGCGAGGGTGGTGGTAGCGGCGGGGGGAAATTTGCGGAGGCCAAGTATATAGAGTTTGAGAACGTGACGGTGGTGACGCCGGCAGGCGCGAAGCTGGTGGATGGGCTGACGCTGCGAGTGAACCCGGGAGAGAACCTGCTCATCACAGGTGAGTCAAGGGTCAGGCAGGGAGGTGATAAAAAACCTGGTAGGTGAAAGTGATTTCTGAGCCTGCTCCAAAGGCTCGTGGATGGGCTGGCGCTGCGAGTGAACCCGGGAGAGAACCGGCTCATCACAGGTGAGACAGCCTGCATGTCTTTTGAGAATTCTCAAAAGTCATACAAATATACCGGCATGTTCCTGCTCCCCTTTCTCCTCTTTTCCCATCCCTCTTTTTCCGTTTCGTCCTGCCCATTTCCTTCCTCACCTTCCTCTCCTTTTTTCTCCCACCCCCACATGGCTTTCTTCTCTCGCTGCTTTGCAGCCTCCATCCTTTACTTTTGTATGCGGCACGCCGTTGCCTCTATGCCTGCACTCCCTCCTCTTTTCCCCTGCTCATTCTTTACACCAATTCCGCCCCCCCTGAAGCACTCAGCCCTTGCGTAATCAGCATACCCATCCTCCCTTCAGTGACCATCATCTCTCTCCCTCCTCCCTCTCCCCTCCCTACTCACTCCTCCCTTCCTCTTCTCCTTCCCTCCCCTCCGCCCCCCTTCCCAACCCCCTCCCCCTCCCAGGCCCCAACGGCAGTGGCAAGAGCAGTCTATTCCGAGTGCTGGGCGGGCTGTGGCCCCTTGTGGAGGGGCGAATTAGCAAGCCGGGGCGAGCAGCGGACCTGAGTCACGACATATTCTACGTGCCGCAGCGGCCGTACATGGCTATCGGCACACTGCAGGACCAGCTCGTGTACCCTCTCACTGCCAACGACCTGCCGGAGCCCCTGCAGGAGGAGCGGCTAAGAGAGATGCTGCGCGTGGTGAGTGCTGCTCGTGATTGGGTACTGAACTCGATGGGAAGTGTTGTGCTGTGTAGGGGTTGAGTGCGGGTGTGTGTGTCCACACGTCTCCGCGTTGGTTCTCTTATTGCTCTGTTCTTAGGGTGGGCAGGTTGGCTTGGAGGACTTGGGGGGCCCGTATGGCATGGAGAGGGAGGTGAACTGGGGGGGGATCTTTGAGTGTACGACTTCTCACATCTCCACCCCCTTTTTCTTCCTGTTTCCGTCGGATTCGCAGGTTGACTTGGAGGACTTGGTGGATCGGTATGGCATGGAGAGGGAGGTCAACTGGGGCGAGGAGCTCTCGCTGGGGCAGCAGCAGCGCTTTGGCATGGCGCGTCTGTTCTACCACGCGCCCGCGTTCGCCATTTTGGATGAGTGCACCAGTGCTGTCACCACTGACATGGAGGAGAGGTGCGTGCGCTGTGCAAGCTGCATGCGGTGTGTGCAGTGTCCACTAGGATTGGAGTGGGGTTTGGGAATGATGAGAAACGCGTTTGCGGTAGTTGAGTTGAGTGCACCAGTGCTGTCACCACGGGCATGGAGGACAGGCGTGTGAGTTCCATGCGAGGGTGCATGTGAGGGGTGCATGCAGGGGGTGCATGCAGGGGGTGCATGCAGGGGGTGCATGCGTGAGTGGAACACAGGGGTGCAGAATTTCCTTCAGCGTTCAAACCCTCCCCTTGCCCCCCGCACCTCCCTCCCCCTCGCCCTTTCAGGTTCTGTCGCCTGGTGGAGCGCATGGGCACGACGTGTGTGACCATCTCGCACCGCCCTGCCCTCGTGGCCTTCCATGAAACCGTGCTCGCACTCGATGGCGAGGGCGGCTGGACTGTGCACTACAAGACGTGAGTGTGGGGTGGGGTGGGGTGGGGTGGGAAGGGGGTGGGGCAGAGTTGGGGAAAGGGCCTGAGTGAGGAGCTTTTCACGTTTTCGCCTGTGAGGTGCCGCAGAAAAGGCTAAGGGCCACTTTTTTTTCTCTCTCTTTTTTTTTCCTCTCTTTCTATTTTTGAAGGATATGCAGACTACCACACGTCGCTTGCACTTCTCCCTTTCTTTCTTCTTCCTGTGTCCCTTCCCTTCCCCCCCACCTCGGTCTCACCTCCCTCCCCATCGCCATCCCCCCCTCTCCACCCCCCCATCCTCACCCCTCACCAGCAACTCTCGTCCCCAGGGTCCCCCGCGCCCATAGTGGAGCAGGTGGGGGGGGCACAGGGGTCGCCGTGGGGCAGTGCAGTGGTCGTGCGGGGCCACCACACATTCCCCTCGCTTGCCCTTGTCCCCCTTCTTCTGCCGCCTTTGTCCTTTCCACCCTGCCTCACTCTTATCACCATCCCCATCCTCATTCTCACCCCCATCCCCATCCCCATCCCCATCCCCATCCCCATCCCCATCCCCATCCCCATCCCCATCCCCATGCCCACTCCACTCCCAATCCCACCCGTCCCCATCCCCACCCCACACCAGCAACCCTTCGTCTCCTGGCTCCCCGGGGTCCATAGTGGAGCAGGTGGCGGGGGCAGCGGGGTCGCCGCGGGGGAGTGCGGTGGTGGTGGCGGGTGGAGCAAGTGTGCGCGCGGGAGGGGTGTCGGAACGCAAGGCGGATGCACAGGTCAACGCCACACATTTCCTGCACGCCACTGACGAGCACATGGTGGGGATTTAGAGGAAGGGGGGGGAAGTGGAGGGGGGAGGACTCGTGGCCTTGTGGGGGAGGGGGTGCTTGAGGTGTAGAGGGTATGGGGTGAGGCGGATGCACAGGTCAACGCCACGCACTTCCTGCACGCCACTGACGAGCACATGGTGGGGCTTGAGAGGAGGGGGGGTTGGGGAAGGAGAGATTGGGGGAGCACATGCTGGGGCTGTGGGTGCCGGGAGGGCAGGTGCGACTGTAGGAAGGCGGATGCACAGGTCAACGCCACACACTTGCTGCACGCCACTGACGAGCACATGGTGGGGCTTGAGAGGAGGGGGGGGAAGTGGAGGGGGGAGGACTCGTGGCCTTGTGGGGGAGGGGGTGCTTGAGGTGTGGGGGGTATGGGGTGCTTAGTGGGAATATACGCTTATTGCGTATATACGCTTATCGTATATACGCACTCTTATATACGCTATACGCTGTAGGGACGGGTTTGGAAATACGCTTTTTCGGGCAGAAAAAAAACTTCCCGGGCAGGGTCAAAAAAAGGCCCGGGGGGGGGGGGGGGGTATGGGGGTGGGGTATGGGGCCTGAAGTTTCAGAGATTTTTTTTTTCCACATTACACATACCACGGCCTACACATAACTACTGTCATCACTACTATCATCACTATCATCACTACTATCATCACTTACCATCATCACTTACCATCACTACTATCATCACTACTCCATCACGACCATCACTTCTCTCTAAGACAAGCTACGTACTACTACTCCTTAGGACTAGCCGCCCACAGCAAGCCACATTTGCCCCCTCTAGTTAGCGTACTCGTCTTCGAGGATGTCGTCTTCGCCTTCCTCCTCATCCTCTCCCTTCGTCTCGTCTTCCAGCCCATTGTATCCCGCCGGGATTGGAGGCTCCGCTCCAATCCCGGGCACCACATGTGGCAAGACATCAACGCGCGTGTGCCAGTTGCGCACAACATTCCAGTTGTGCGCAACATAGACCAAGTCCCTGCACTTGGCGGATCCGAGCCTGTTGCGACGTGCGGTGTGGACGGCATCCCACGAGGACCATCCACGCTCACAAGGTGAGGCTGACACGGCCTGAGACAGCACCCGTACCGCGAGCCCCGCCACTCGAGGGGCATCAGTCCCATTCCACTGCCACCACTTCACCATGCTATACTTTCCCTCTTTCACCAGCTTCCTCTGTGCCACGGCTTCCGGCATCCCAAAAGAACCCTTCATGTCAAGGAACGCCCTCAGCCCGTCCCCCAGCTCAAGCAAGATGTCGCACGCGTCATCCCCCCCATCCTCGCGGCTCGCAAGGAACTCGGACTGCTGGCTGATGAACGCCTTGAAGACTTTCGTGCACTCGGGATCAGTGCCGAAAATATCTTCCTCCTGATTCGCGGGGTTGAGGATGCGGCCAGCGACATGCATGGCGCATGCGAGGCTGCCGTCCCAGCGGTATCTGAGGATGCGGCGGATCTTGTCCTTGTCCCCGTCGCTCAGCTGCTCCTCGTCCGCATCGAGCAAGCCCCCCACGTCCTCAGTCAACTGCAGCATCAAATCGTACAGCCTCCCCATCATCCCCACGGCATGCCCGTCCGTCTGCCTCATCACCTTAAAGGGCAGCTTCAGCAGTGCGACGAAGAACTCGGCCGTCTTCCACCAGGCGGCATCATGGATCAGCGCACGATTTCTTCCGGTCCCCTACCGCCCACTCCTTCCAACCCTCGCTCGTCACCATGTTGGTAAGGCTGCCGCGCATCGCACATAGCCGGGATATGGCTATGTAGTTGGTCCCGAATCGGGTTCCAGCCGGCTTCAGCGCCTGCAGAACCTTCCCCTCCACCAATTCCGGCTTCCGCAGGTACCCTCGGGTCCAGTGGTGGTTGCGGACGAAGCTAGATATCTCCCCTCCCTTGTCGACCACCGGCTTAGCCCATCCCATCTTCCCGAGATCTTCCATGAGAAGATCCAATACGTGAGTGGCGCACGGCACATCCTGAATGTGCGGCCACTCCTGTAAGAGCTGCTTCACCGCCACCGCATAGTTCGACCCCCCGTCCATGCAGAACGCAACAACGTTTTCTGGACCCACTTCCTCCACCACGGGCCTAAGAATTCCCGCCACGTAACCTCCGGTTTTCCTCTCCATGTTGCAGTCAATACAGTCGGTGAAGACGGCGTCGGAATCGTTTACGAGAAGCACGTTGGCATGCGGCCTGCCGTTGCGGTCCGTCATCATGTCGGACGAAACCGTCACGCCCGTCCTCTTCCAGCTCGCCTTAATGCCCACCAAACCCTGCTCGATTCCGTTGCGACACAAGAGAAGGCCAGCACCGCCGATGTATTTCCTCTTGGGAGGGACGTAGTCGACGCCGGCGCGCTTGACGAGGTTCAATGCATTGACCATCAGAGGATGGTCAATGTGGCGCTCGGGGATATGGAGGGCGGCCCAAGCAAGCGCAAGTGCCTCGTCCGCTTCTCTCTTTCTTGCAGCCGCATCCTCATCAAGGTAATCGGTGATGTGCGCCCGCTTCACACCATTAGCCTTGACCGCGGCAACCGCTTCAGCTGCTGCCCGCCTCTTCTCTTCGGCCGCAGCAGCCTTTGCCTCGTATTTCGCGCGCATGGCCAAGCGCACATCTTGCGGCGCATCCTTGCAAAGCACCACTTCACGGCGTTTCATCCCCTTCCACGACGTGAAGTGTTGCGCGCATCGGATGGCAGCACCGGTGTAGACGTTGCTGCAGAACCTGCACTCGTACTGCTGAGCTTTTCCCTTGATGATGCGGAAGTGCTTGAAGACGGCATGGTCAACGTCGGGGAGATACTCCCGTGCCTCGGTTAGAAGAGTTTGCGAACTGCCAACGGTGTTAACTGACGGTGGCGTTAGAGGAGAGGTTGTAGTCGTCGACATAGGCACCATGCGCTAGGGAATGCCTAGTGCTCTGCTGGTAGCGAGAGAAGACCTAATGAGTTGGATGTTGGGGGTGTGCTTGTTTTATGGCGAGTTGATTGTGGGAGTGGGAAGATGGCCAACAAAAATTGGAGAGGTGTTGGTTGCGAAGGGTTTGAATGCGGTACTGATAGTGAACACCAAAATGTGAGGGAACGTGCAGGCGCGACTCGACGAACGTGACTTTCCATTTGCGACACGAACTTTCAACCCACGTCCACGCTAGCACACAGCGCGGACGTGCCATCTGACCCCGCCAATGTCTTCGTCGTGCAATTCCGAAGCGAACCGTATAGGTTGAAATTTTCTGGCCGGGCTGCCCCAAAAAAAATTTGGCGAGCGTATAGCGTATTCGATAGCGTTTAGCGTTTTGCGTATACACGCTAGCGTGTATACGCTAAACGCAAACAGGTTTGAGCGTATATTCCCACTTAGATGGGGTGAGGCGGACGCGCAGGTCAACGCCACGCACTTCCTGCACGCACGCCACTGATGAGCACATGGTGGGGCTTGGGGAAGGCGGGAGGAGTGCAGGGGAATTGGGGGACCATGCGGGAGGGGGCGGTTGAGGGAGCACATGGTGGGGCTGGGGAGGAGGGGGACGAAAAGAGCACACGGTGGGACTGGGGGACAGAAAAGAGAGAGGGGAGGGACAGGAGCGAGGTGGTTGAAATGGTTGGGGATGTTAGGCAGGCAGGAAACAAGAGAGTGGGTGATTCAAGGGGAAGAGGTGTGGTAATTTGGGTAACGCAGTGCAATAAGTAACGGTGATATGATGTGTTTCCCCTTTCATTTGAATTTCTTCTTTTCTTCCCCTCTCTGCCCCACTTTTCTCCCGTTTCCTCTCGTTCCCTCCCCGTCTTTCTCCTGACCCCACACGCCCCACCTTGTAGGGAGGCAAGGCGGCGCAGCAAGCGGAGGAGGTGAAGATAGAGGGCGAGGTGCTGGCAGTGTCGCCGGCCATAGAGGGACCGCTGCCCATCGTGCCGCACATCCGACCCAAGAAGCGCGGCTTCTCTGCGCGCCTCAACGCCATGATCCGCATCCTGGTACACATGTACACATGCACACATGCACACATGCACACATGCACACATGTACACATGCACACATGCACACATGCACACATGCACACATGCACACATGCACACATGCACACATGCACACATGCACACATGCACACATGCACACATGCACACATGCACACATGCACACATGCACACATGTACACATGCACACATGCACACATGCACACATGCACACATGCACACATGCACACATGCACACATGCACACATGCACACATGCACACATGCACACATGCACACATGCACACATGCACACATGCACACATGCACACATGCACACATGCACACATGCACACATGCACACATGCACACATGCACACATGCACACATGCACACATGCACACATGCACACATGCACACATGCACACATGCACACATGCACACATGCACACATGTACACATGCACACATGCACACATGCACACATGCACACATGCACACATGTACACATGCACACATGCACACATGTACACATGCACACATGTACACATGCACACATGCACACATGTACACATGCACACATGCACACATGCACACATGCACACATGCACACATGCACACATGCACACATGCACACATGCACACATGCACACATGCACACATGCACACATGCACACATGCACACATGCACACATGCACACATGCACACATGCACACATGCACACATGCACACATGCACACATGCACACATGCACACATGCACACATGCACACATGCCACATGCACACATGCACACATGCACACATGCACACATGCACACATGCACACATGCACACATGCACACATGCACACATGCACACATGCACACATGCACACATGCACACATGCACACATGCACACATGCACACATGCACACATGCACACATGCACACATGCACACATGCACACATGCACACATGCACACATGCACACATGCACACATGCACACATGCACACATGCACACATGCACACATGCACACATGCACACATGCACACATGCACACATGCACACATGCACACATGCACACATGCACACATGCACACATGCACACATGCACACATGCACACATGCACACATGCACACATGCACACATGCACACATGCACACATGCACACATGCACACATGCACACATGCACACATGCACACATGCACACATGCACACATGCACACATGCACACATGCACACATGCACACATGCACACATGCACACATGCACACATGCACACATGCACACATGCACACATGCACACATGCACACATGCACACATGCACACATGCACACATGCACACATGCACACATGCACACATGCACACATGCACACATGCACACATGCACACATGCACACATGCACACATGCACACATGCACACATGCACACATGCACACATGCACACATGCACACATGCACACATGCACACATGCACACATGCACACATGCACACATGCACACATGCACACATGCACACATGCACACATGCACACATGCACACATGCACACATGCACACATGCACACATGCACACATGCACACATGCACACATGCACACATGCACACATGCACACATGCACACATGCACACATGCACACATGCACACATGCACACATGCACACATGCACACATGCACACATGCACACATGCACACATGCACACATGCACACATGCACACATGCACACATGCACACATGCACACATGCACACATGCACACATGCACACATGCACACATGCACACATGCACACATGCACACATGCACACATGCACACATGCACACATGCACACATGCACACATGCACACATGCACACATGCACACATGCACACATGCACACATGCACACATGCACACATGCACACATGCACACATGCACACATGCACACATGCACACATGCACACATGCACACATGCACACATGCACACATGCACACATGCACACATGCACACATGCACACATGCACACATGCACACATGCACACATGCACACATGCACACATGCACACATGCACACATGCACACATGCACACATGCACACATGCACACATGCACACATGCACACATGCACACATGCACACATGCACACATGCACACATGCACACATGCACACATGCACACATGCACACATGCACACATGCACACATGCACACATGCACACATGCACACATGCACACATGCACACATGCACACATGCACACATGCACACATGCACACATGCACACATGCACACATGCACACATGCACACATGCACACATGCACACATGCACACATGCACACATGCACACATGCACACATGCACACATGCACACATGCACACATGCACACATGCACACATGCACACATGCACACATGCACACATGCACACATGCACACATGCACACATGCACACATGCACACATGCACACATGCACACATGCACACATGCACACATGCACACATGCACACATGCACACATGCACACATGCACACATGCACACATGCACACATGCACACATGCACACATGCACACATGCACACATGCACACATGCACACATGCACACATGCACACATGCACACATGCACACATGCACACATGCACACATGCACACATGCACACATGCACACATGCACACATGCACACATGCACACATGCACACATGCACACATGCACACATGCACACATGCACACATGCACACATGCACACATGCGCACATGCGCACATGCGCACATGCGCACATGCGCACATGCGCACATGCGCACATGCGCACATGCGCACATGCGCACATGCGCACATGCGCACATGCGCACATGCACACATGCACACATGCACACATGCACACATGCACACATGCACACATGCGCACATGCGCACATGCGCACATGCGCACATGCGCACATGCGCACATGCGCACATGCGCACATGCGCACATGCGCACATGCGCACATGCGCACATGCGCACATGCGCACATGCGCACATGCGCACATGCGCACATGCGCACATGCGCACATGCGCACATGCACACATGCACACATGCACACATGCACACATGCACACATGCGCACATGCGCACATGCGCACATGCGCACATGCGCACATGCGCACATGCGCACATGCGCACATGCGCACATGCACACATGCGCTCATGCGCACATGCGCACATGCGCACATGCGCACATGCGCACATGCGCACATGCGCACATGCGCACATGCACACATGCACACATGCACACATGCACACATGCACACATGCACCTGCACATTCACATTCACATGCGCCCACGTGCACACATGCCCGTGCTTTTGAACATGCTCGCCACGCTCACCTTTTCCCGCTTCTCCTCTCCCGCTCCCCACCTTTCCTCCCTTTCCCCCGCCCTCCTTCTCCTTCTCTGCGCTCCGTCCAGTTCCCCAAGCTGGGAGGGGTACAAACAGCACAGTTGGGGATGCTAGCGTTCCTGGTGGTGGCACGCACAGGCCTGTCTGATAGAATCGCCTCTCTCAACGGTAAGGGACTGTGGGTTGGTACTTGTGGATTGGTACTTGTGGATTGGCATTGAGTTTTGAGACGTCTCAAAGGCTGTTTGATTGATTACCCTCCATCAACAGTCCAGGGCCGTTTTGCTGGTGCATTCATGGATTGGCTCCAAGTTTTCATACTTTCAGAGACCCTCAGGAGCAATCGAATCTTTCAATGATGCAGGGCTGTCTGCTGTCCCGCTCATGCATGGGCGGTGCACAAGAAACAGATGCGTGCTATGCTGTGATGATGCATGTAACCCGCAAGAGCACGGCACAGTGTCTGTGATACCATCATGCATCTACTCCATCTACTCCTCTCAGCTGCACACAGCATTATGCTTGAAATAAGCATCCTACCTGACCAAACCCTCTCCACCTTCCTATACCCCCTCTCCCAAATACCCACCCGCTTTTCCTCCTCCTTCCCCCTTCGCGTGGAGCAGGCACGAGTGTGCGCAATGTGCTACAGCAGGACAAGGTGGCGTTCATGCGCCTCATTGCCGTCTCCATTCTGCAGAGCCTCGCCTCCGCTGTCATCGCCCCCTCGCTCAGGTGCGATCCTTGCTGCCCTGCTGCCCTCCTCCCTCCCACCGCCCTGTTGCCCTCTCCCCACTCACCGCGCTGCTGCCTCTCTCATCACGCTCTCTCATCTCGCCTCCATCTTTCAATTTCGTCTCGACCCTCTCATCTTCTATGCTCCTTCCTTCCCTCCCACGTCCAAGCACTCTCCTCGTCACCCTTAACTCTTCTTCTGTATGCATCCCCTCATGTGTTATCTCTGTGTGAGTGCGTATGAGTGTGCGTGCATGTGTGTGTGCATGTGTGCGTGCATGTGTGTGTGCATGTGTGTGTGCATGTGTGTGTGCATGTGTGTGTGCATGTGTGTGTGCATGTGTGTGCATGTGTGCGTGCATGTGTGTGTGCATGTGTGCGTGCATGTGTGCGTGCATGTGTGTGTGCATGTGTGTGTGCATGTGTGTGTGCGCATGTGTGTGTGCATGTGTATTTGCATGTGTGTGTGCATGTGTGTGTGTGCATGTGTGCGTGCATGTGTGCGTGCATGTGTGTGTGCATGTGTGTGTGCATGTGTGTGTGCGCATGTGTGTGTGCATGTGTGTGTGCATGTGTGCGTGCATGTGTGTGTGCATGTGTGTGTGCATGTGTGTGTGCATGTGTGTGTGCATGTGTGTGTGCATGTGTGTGCATGTGTGCGTGCATGTGTGTGTGCATGTGTGCGTGCATGTGTGCGTGCATGTGTGTGTGCATGTGTGTGTGCATGTGTGTGTGCGCATGTGTGTGTGCATGTGTATTTGCATGTGTGTGTGCATGTGTGTGTGTGCATGTGTGCGTGCATGTGTGCGTGCATGTGTGTGTGCATGTGTGTGTGCATGTGTGTGTGCGCATGTGTGTGTGCATGTGTGTGTGCATGTGTGTGTGCATGTGTGTGTGCATGTGTGTTTGCATGTGTGTGTGCATGTGTGACCAAGCAGGCATCTACAGTCGTCACTGGCACTGGGATGGAGGAGGCACCTCACAGCCCACCTCACCCGCCTGTACTTCAGACATAACGCCTTCTACAAGGCATGATGCACCTCAATGCACTTGTGCTTCACCCACAACGCCTTTACAATTCATGCCATGCTGAGCAGTGCCGTGCCGTGCCATGCCTTCTCTCACCACCCCCTCTCTCCGCTCCCTTTCCCCGGGTGGTGGCTGGCGCTACTAGCTGACAGCCTAACCGACACAGAGCAGAGGCTCTGCATCAACTTTCGGAGCAAATCATAAAGGTCACCCCCCCCCCCACCCGTTCCCTCTCTTCCCTTTCCCCAGGTGGTGGCGCTGGGAACGGAGGGTCTAACAGACGCGGACCAGAGGCTATGTGACGACGTGAACCGGGTCTGCTCGGACGTCTCAGGGCTAGTGTCAAGCCTTGTGAAGCCCATAGTGGACATCTTCTGGTTCACGTGGCGCATGCGGTGCCTCACAGGGCAGAGGGGCGTGGGCATTCTGTACGCGTACATGCTGCTGGGACTGGGCTTCCTGAGAGCTATTACCCCGGATTTCTCCTCGCTCACGGCGGAGCAGCATCGGCTTGAAGGGGCCTTCCGGTGTGTCTGCTGCTGCTCCTTCTGGCCCTGTTGTTCTGTCTTTTGTTGATCCTTCCGAAACCCCTGTCCTTCTTGGCTTCCTACACTTGTGCCCTTTTTATTTACCTTTCGTCCGTCGCTGCTTCTTTGTTCTTCATTCTTCTCGAATTCTGCTTTCCCACGTTTTTGCTTATAACCTCCGCTTTCGATATTTCTTTGCCTCCACCTTTCTTGTCTCCTCCACGTGATTTACCACCTTGCCGTGACCTCTCTGCTTCCCATCTCCCTTCACCTTTCCTCCTCCTTCCCTTCTCTAATCCTCTCCCCCCTCTTCCCCTACCCCTCGTGGCAGCTTCATGCACTCGCGCCTGCGCACCCATGCTGAGTCAGTTGCATTCTTTGGAGGAGGCGATCGTGAGCATGCGGTACGTTGACATGCCATGCCCCTCTCACCTACCGCCCCTCTCACCTGCGTTCGTGCCATTGTTGCCATGGCTTGCCATGCCATGCTGTTCCATTCCAGTGCATTCCAGTGCTCGATTTCTCATGTGCCCTTTGCCAAGGCTGCTCACCCTACACCTCCCACCGACACATCCCTACCCCTACCTCGAAATCCGACCCTCCCCTCCTTCCCCACACCCCATCCCTATCTCTCTCCCACCCTCCCCTCCCCACGGCCCCACTACCACTCCCTCCCCCTTCCCTTCGTCCCCCCCTCCCCAGGTGGTGGCGGACCGGTTTGACCGGGTGATGGAGCACCGGCGGGGCGTGCTGTCCCCTCTCGCTCGATGGTGACGGACAGCTTTTTGAGAGAACCCAATTGAAAGATACTCTTCCCTCCTCTCTCCCCCTCCTCTCCCCCTCTCCCCAGGTGGTGGCGGATCGGTTTGACCGGGTGATGGAGCACAGGCGGGGGGTGCTGTCGAGGCGGTGGTTCTTTGGCATCGCGGACGAGTTCATCACCAAGCAGCTGCCGCACAACGTCACCTGGGGGCTCTCCATGCTCTACGCCATGGACTACTCGCTCACTGACAGCTCCGACAACCAAGGTGGGAGAAAAGGGAGGCCCTCTTTATCCGCCTTAAACCCACCGTGAGTAATTTCGTTCGAACCTCAAGACCCAGTCCTGTCTATGCTAGCCTTTGAAGAACTTCAGAGGCTCTCTCTCGCTTACTGCTCTGATCTTGAAGAATATGACCTGGTTGCTTCACTCAATGCATGCCAAGACAATAGGCTACAACAACTGCTTCTCTGACAGGGTGATGGATGCGGTCAAACTGTTGTTTCTCCCGTCCCTGAGCATGCTGACCTGTGAGGAAATTTCTGCCGCTGGTGTTGACGGGTTTCTGAGAAGCTTTCCCAGGTTGCTGCGGAGCTGTCAGTAAGCGACCTGGGAAAGCTTCTCAAAAGCCTGTCAAAATCAGCAGCAGAAATTCTCTCACAGGACAGGGACGAGAGAAACAACCGTTTGACTACATCTATCACCCTGTCAGAGAAGCAGTTGTTGCAACCTACTGTCAGGTGAAGTAACCCTTAGCATGCTTGAGTGTGGGGGGGGGGGGGGGGGGGGGCTGTTAGGGAGGAGGGTCCTGCTAGGGTGTTTCTGCAAGAATCCGTGCTTCCCACCTTGTTACTTTCTCCCGCAACACTCTCCCCAATTTTCCCCCTCGCTTCCCGCCTGGGCCCGTGCAGGCTATCGTCTAGAATCCAAAATATAAAACCTCTTCTACCCCCTCACTCCCCGCCCACCCCTTTCACCCCCTCACTCCCCGCCCATCCCGTGGCTCGGGTCGAGTGTGTTGGGGTACGACCTACGCTTCCTGGCATCGCCTGAGTTGCACTCATTCCTGGCAATGGCCATTCAGAGGAGCTGTTACCGCAACGTACAGGAGCTGATGCGCTTGCCTGCCACCTTCACCCCCCTCTCCCTCTCGCTCCTTGCCTTGCCAGGCGTGTTGGCACACGATCTGCGCTTCCTGGCATCCGTGGTGTCGCACTCGTTCCTGGCCTTCGGGGACATTCTCGAGTGTTACCGCAAGGTGCAGGAGCTGGCGGGCACCATCGCCCGCGTCATGGGGCTGGATGAAGCCCTGCTCGCCGCACAGCACGGTGAGCGCTGCTCAGTTTCTAGTCCGTTTCGTCCCGGTGTCTGGTAAAGGAATCAGAATGGTTCACTCGTGGAAATTCTGTGATCAATTTTTCAGAATCAAAAGTGATTTGTTTTGTGCCATGGAATCGCCCAAGTCTGAGCCGGAGCAGCTTGGATGCAGAACTCTCAAGCTTCATGCAATCCTTCTTGCCCGTATCACCCTCTTGCCGCTCCCCCCTTTCTTCCCCCTCCCAGACCTGGCCCCTCACAACATGCAGCGCCCGGGGTCCTTCACAGGGCTGTTGGCGCTGGCATCTCAGGCACCAGACGCGCCAGTGGCTCAGGACGTGGCATTCCTGGGAGTGGACGTCATCACTCCCGCTCAGAAGCTGCTGGCTCACAAGCTCTCTGTGACCGTGCACTCGGGGCAGTCGCTGCTCGTCACAGGCCCCAACGGCAGTGGCAAGAGCAGTCTATTCCGAGTGCTGGGCGGGCTGTGGCCCCTCGTGGAGGGCACGATACTCAAGCCAGGCCTCCCGCCGATGACAGCGGGCAGCATGCTACTAGCAGAGGGGGCCACAGGCATTGCCACAGGTGGCATGTTCTACGTGCCCCAGCGCCCGTACGCTGCTCTGGGGTCGCTGCGAGACCAGCTGATTTACCCGCTGTCGCGGGTGGATGCGGCTCAGAAGGTCGTGGGGTTCCGGGCTCCTGCTGCTCTTGCTGCTGCTGGGAAAGGTGCGTGCAGGGGAGGGGAGGGGAGGGGTGGGGAGGGGAGGGGTGGGGTGGGATGGAATCTGAACGGAGGTCGGCAATGCTTTGCGATTTGGGCTACAGGGAATAGGGTTTCACACTTGGTTTACGATAAGGAAGTTACACCACTTGTCTCCAACATTCTCCTCTACCCATCCTCACCGCTCCCTCTGCCTTCCCGCTCCCCCTCCCCCTCCCCTTCCCCTCCCGTCCCCCTCATCCACCCCCTACCCCCCGCCTCCCCTTTCCCCAGGCGACACCCCGGCAGCGGGGTGGACAGCAGCGGTGGAGGCAGCAGCGTTCCGGGCGTTGGACGAGCAGCTGGCGCGCATCATGGAGGACGTGCGCCTGCTGTACCTGCTGGGCCGTGAGGGCGGCTGGGACGCCACCTCCACGTGGGAGGACACGCTCTCACTTGGGGAGCAGCAGCGCCTGGGCATGGTGAGGGTTTGCTTGGGGGGAAAAGGGAGGGAAGTAGGGGTTGGGATGGTGGAAGTGCGAGAGTGAGTTGGAAGGGAGAGTGGGTGGGACGCCTGCTGCAACTGTTGGTGGTTTGGTTACAGTGCGTGATAATAGTGGCTTGTGAAGGGTGTTGTAAAGGAAGAGCCAGGTTTGCCATGCCTTGGGTTATGTGCTAGAGGCTGCTTTACTGCGCTCCTGTATCTTTGACCCTGCTCGCCTCACCTTTCACCCTTTCGTGGCTTTGCTCATTCCACCATTCCCACTGTCTTCATTCTCTTCCGCGTGTCTATCTGCCCGCCTCGCCTGCGCCCGTCCTCCCCTACTCCCATCTGCCCTTGCCCCTGTCCCGCCTGCCAGGCACGCCTCTTCTTCCACCGACCGAAGTTTGGCATCTTGGATGAATGCACCAAGTGAGTTGAAGGGTTAGAGAGAAGCTTCATGTGCTGCTTTGGGGGGCTTTCTTGGCAAGTGAACGAGGGAGGGAGGCAGCTGGTGATGAGGGTGTGGGGATGTGTCACTCTATGTGTCACTCTTTTTGTCACTCGACTCCATCCATATTCAAGCATGCAGTTCTCGATAACCCTTCCATTCCCTACCACTTTCTTCACACTGCCGGTGAGTGCCGTTTCTCGCTACACTGCCTAGGCTACCATCCCAGATCTGCATCGCTCCCCATCCCGCTCACTTTCCGTCCACTCCCCCATCCCTCTCTCCACCCTGGTGTCCCTTACCCCCTCTGCGCCCTGTGTTCCCCTTATCTCTGTGTTCCACACCATCTGCCCCCCGCCTCCTCGCAGTGCAACGAGTGTGGATGTGGAGGAAGCACTCTATGCACGCGCCAAGGAGCTGGGCATCACCGTCATCACCATCTCCCAGGTGCCCTCCCCACTTCCATGTCTGCCTATCACCTGCCGTCCCCGTTTTGAGTCAACTTGAGATGATGGATGTGTCGTGCCAAGGAGCTGGGCATCACCGTCGTCACCATCGCCCAGGTTCTCTCCCCACGTACATGCCTGCCTATCACCTGCCATGCCTCCCCAGCCACCCTCACTTGCTCCCTGCTGTTTTTTCAGTCAACCCAGGCACAGCCTTTGCAATGTCTCCGGATCTGGTTTTGAGACGTTTTAAAACCTTTCAGTTGAGACATGTTCTGGGACGTATCAAAGGGAGCATGGCCATTGCCCGCTTGCATCTGTGCTGCTATTCTACCATCCCTTCCACGATCACCTTGCGGACAACAAAAGCTTGTATCCAGATAGGCTTTCCATACAATCCTCCGGCCACTTCATCTTCCCCTATGTGTCCTGCCTCTTCTCTCCAACCCGTTTCCCCTCCTTTTCCCTGCCGTGTCCCTCTCTTGGCCACCTTTCCTTGATCCCCTTTTCAACGTTTCCCCCACTCTTTCTGTGGAACCCAATGGCCTTGCCCACCCAGCGGCCTGCCCTGGTGCCGTATCACTCGCAGGAGCTGCGGCTCATAGATGGCGAGGGCACATGGGAGCTACGCTCCATTCGCGTTGCCACCCACTCTGCAGACGCCGTGCCTGCTGCTGACGGTGCTGTGCGGTCCAAAGTGGTGATTGAGGAGGTTGCAGTTAACGGGGAGGCTGAGGGCAGGAAGGATTCGTCTTCATATGCTGCCATGGCTGCTGCGGGGACTACGACTGAGGAGGCATAAGAAGTTGACTGTAATCTAATGGTGGCTCTTCTGTTATACTGGGGCACTAAATGTTGAAACACTCAGGCTAGCAGTTTCTGTAGGCGATCCTGCGGTTTCTTCAAGCATGTTTAGCTGACAGTGCATGTCTTCGAATACGACTGAAGTATACTGTAATCTGGCATTGAAGCTGTGTATTTTCTGACCGGATAAGGGCAACAAAAGATTATTTTCTTCTGCAATAGGCTGGATTGTGACCATCTAGTCCGTGTTTTTCCCTTATGGTGGTGGACTCACTGCCTGAATGTCCAGGATGTCAAATGAGCTTCTTTTGACTTCATGCAATTCTCATCCCCTCTGCTCTGCATGTTTTACCCATTAACATACCTACCACCAAAACCCCATTATTCAGAAGTTGAGGTGTAGGGACACTGGCGTTAACATTATTAAAGTGGCCCGTACGCCTTGCAACCCTGGACTGCGAGAGTCATGGGGACAACAACACCTTTCTACTCAACCCTCCATGATTAGGAGACGTGTTTAATAAGGGATATTTCTGTTGTATTTACCATTGATTGATATATTCAGACATACTAGTAGCATGTTCCGTTAGCGTCGACGAAACAGTACGGCGACACATAGTATTCGATTGGCTGGTCTAGCAGTCCAATCAATACAGTTCTTCTTCAGTGATGGTGGTGGTTTGGAGGATTCGAGGGAATCGAGAAATTTCGGTCCAACGGGAATTTCAAGAAAGCGCACTATTTTGCACCTCACCGGCAGCAGTCCGCTCGCTAAGAGCACATCCATAGGGAGTTGCGCGTCGACCACATGCCCCTGTTGCCTGCTTTCCCCTGCCAGGGGCTTGGCTAGACAGTCAAGCCAAGCAAACAAACATGAGCAGTTTTGTTGTACACTGGGCTTGTTTGATTTCGGTTGTAGGAACTTCGGTTTGGTACAGAAAGATGCCTTGGCCCTTGGCTGCCTCTGGGCTGGTGCGTTTGCTATTGCTACAGTATGTGGGAAGACAACTGCTGTCTGCTTCATTCATTCTGCTTCAACATTCTTGTGCCATGGGAGGAGGGTGAACCTTTTGTTCAGAGGAAGCGGTAGAGTACGATGTTGTGCACTCTGAAGCGGTTGTTCTGCTTCTCCACTTTTGACCACTACTCACCAGCCCGAACATTCATGCATGAACTGTGCAACAGACTTTCCGCCTAACTTCATTTTCAATCGGCCATGGCCAATCCACGGCTCGTCCTTAATCGTTTCAGTAGAGAAAGGCGTTTCGGTTGCATCAGTTCACATAGCGTCAGCAATTCTTTATGGTTCATTACGTTATCAGACTGTAGACCAATTTTGAGAATCTAGGGGATAATGTTTTTCTCCTACGAACTGTTCCCACATCTATCAATGGCCATGTCTCGGATAATCTGATCCAAAACACAACCGCAACTGGTGAATTGGGCTGTAAACATGTCCCGTCTCGCATCCCTCTCATGTCATCCCCGATAGTAAGCACTTCGGCAAGAATGACAGAGTCCGTTCGATCGAAACCAGCGCTCCTGAGGCTCGCCTAGTGTCGTCGTCACCAGTAATTGTTAAGGACGCAGATCAAACAGCTTATAGAGGAATCATGAGCGGCGTCTCTCACGCGACACCCAGCCGCGGCGTGCTGATGGGTAACGGATCCGAGCCCAACCGGCGAAACGGAACTATCGGTGTGTCTCCTGCTAAGCTGGCGAAGACGGCGGATGCAGGTTTGAATGGGCAAATGAGTGATGTTCCCCAAAATAACGTTCTTATAAGGAGCGGTGGTAATGATTCTAGTGGTGGGAAGGGCCGAGCGTTAAAGAAGTCAGGTTCCTTGACCGTTGGAAGCGATCCAGTGGCAACGCAAAAGTCGCAGGTGGCGTCGCAGCTGTCATCGCAAGTCCTGCCGCAGTCGCACATCCACGCCATGTACGGAAATAGATTACTGTCGCAGTCGTCGGGGCTAAGACTGGCTGAGCTCTACGCATTGGCGATGCAGCAGAAACAGGAAACCCATAGCGATGGAAATGGGGACATGGGAGGTGGTCAAGGGGATGAGGAACCCGAAAGACCAGCGGATTTGTACAGTAATGACCTTGGGTTCCGTGCGAGCGAGGCTGATACGAGACCGGTATCTTCTGGGCAGGTGCATCAGGAGCCGAAGACTCTGGCGAGGCAACAACAGGTTTCCCTGCTTATGCAGCAGTCGCAGCAGCAGTCGCAGTCGCAGTCGCAGGGGCAGTCACCGGCGCATTCGCAGCAGCATCGCCGTTCCCCTTCACCCTTCCTTCGCCAGGAGCCGCAAGGGGATGCATCGGTACAAGTCCATGCGCAGCAGTCGGGCGGGCGGAAATGCGGAGAAGGCGGAGCAGAGGCACCTGAACGGGCAGCCACCTCAGCAGCTGAACGGGTGGCACGAGTCGATCAGACAGCAGGCGGTGCCGTTACAACAGCTGCAGCAGGAGGCAGAGCAGCGGCTGGGTTTCCCAGCACAGCCAGCATTGGGGAGTCGGTTCCAGAGGCAGATCGCAGGGCATCAGGACGGACAGGAGGGGCAAAAGGGACAGGAGGGACAGGAGTGGCACGAGGGGCTGGAGGCGCAGGCTTAACATCAGAGGCATCATTAGGCGGAGGAGCCACAGGGGGAGGCACAGGAGGAGCGGAATTGTACAAAGAGGTGGAAATGGTGGTGGACAGGGGACGGTCGCACCTGCTGTCCGAAGCAGCACGGGCGAAGCACGACGCAGCGAGGCTGAGAGCTGACGTGTGGCACATGTGGCGGGAGGTGGCGAGAGCTAAAGAAGACGTGGCACGGGCGCGGGAAGAAGGGGCGAGAATGGCAGAGAAAGCAGCAGGGTCGTTAGAGCAGGCAGCCGTTGCACTGGAGCTTGCTGCAGCCTGCGAACATGCAGTGGGGGGTTGTGTGGGGAAAGAAGGGGATGGGAGCGCTGGGATTCGCGTGGTTGTAAGAATTGAAAATGCTGTGGGTGCAGGGTCGTTCGGGGGAGGTCCAGCAGGAACGGGAGCCACCTCCACTCCCTCGTCGGCAGCTTCCTCACCACGGTCCCTCCATGCCGAGCCGTTTGGTTCGGCCGTACGTGGCTCGTCGGGTCGGGGTAACCGATCCTTCCCGTCCGTTGTGCCTATCCGGCTTCCCTCGCGGATGACTGGCGCGCAGGCTTGGTCCCTGCCTCGCAGCGCCACCTGCACGCCAAACAAAACCTCTGCGTCAGCTTTGCCTCCCCCATCCCCCAACACTCTCAGAAAAAAGCTATCCATCTGGAGTGTGGCATCGGGTTCGTCTGCCGCTGCCACTGCCAGCGCTGCTGCGGCTGGAGCTGACGGCTCTGCTGGCATGGGTGGTGCTGCCAGTGCTGCTGCTACCAGTGCAGCTGCTGACGCTGCTCCAGAGCCGGATTCTCCTTTTGGAGGATTCCCTTTAGGGTCAGGAAGCGGTGGTAGTGGTGTTGGGTTGGGGAGCGGCCCTGGGAGCAACAGCAGCAGGCCTGGTAGTGCCTCCAGTCGGCCCGGCAGTGGGAGAGTGAGATTAGTTGCAGGGGGAGGTAGTGCCGGCAGTGGAGTCATGGGGAGTGGCAGTGAGGGTGCGTTTCTAGCATCCCAGCAGCAGCAACAAACGCAGCAGGTGCTGGTAGTCCATCAAAGGTCTCACTCGCAGCAGCAGCAGCTTCTGCGGCTGCAGCAACAACAGCAGCAGCTGGGAAACAGCGCTGCTTCGTCCGGACCTGCTGTCCAGGCTTGGCCGAGCCACAAGAGGCCCAACAGTTGTGACGGCTATATCTCGTCCAATCAGACGTCTCCGCGAGCTGACTCAGTGGCGGACGTAGGAGATTCCGATGGCAGTGATGCCAAGGGGTTGGAGGGCTCAGTGGCTGGAGGGGGAAGTGGTGATCTTTCTGCCGCTGCTTCTTCTGCTGCTACATCTGGAGCAGCAGCAGGAAACCCTGCAGTACGCCGGATATCCTCCGCAGTAGGTATGGGAGCAGCAGGTTCGGGAGGCGCTGGCCGGTCTGGTCCGGGGTCAGGCCCGATGGTGGTTCGGGGAAGTCGGGTTTTAAGGAAGATCAGCACCTCTCCAATGAGAGTCTTACAAGCTGTCAACTTGCCCCCTTCGGGGTCAGCAGCAGCAGGGGCCGCTCCAGGGGCAGTGGTGGGAGCTGCTTGGGCAGATGGAGGAGGAGTTATCGGAGGAGGGCGAGGAGGGGGGCTTATGGGTAAAACACGGGGGGCGAGCAACAGTGTTCCCGTTCCTCCTCCTCCTGCTGCTGCTGCTGCTGCTGCTGCTGCTGCTGCTGCTGCTGCTGCTGCTGCTGCTGCTGCTGCTGGTGGTGGTGGTGGTGGTGGTGGTGGTGGTGGTGGTGGTGGTGGTGGTGGTGGTGGTGGTGGTGGTGGTGGTGGTGGTGCTGCTGCTGCTGCTGCTGCTGCTGGTGCTGCTGCTGCTGGCTCTGCTGTTGCTGGTGGTTCTGCGGGTTCTGCTGCTGCTGGCGGTGGTTCTGGTGGCGGGACAGGGGCAGGGTTGGGCCGTGGAGTGGGCAGTGCTGCAGTTGCTGCTGGGAGTGCGGGAGGCAGAGGTGCCACGCGAGGGGTGGCTGGAAGAGGAGGGCTGGCGGTGGGTGGTATGGGTGGTGGGGGAGGGGGGTTTGGAGGAGGGGGCGGAGGAGGGGGAGGAGTAGGGGGAGGAGGAGGTGGTGGAGGAGGAGGGGCAGGAGTAGTAAGCAGGCCTGGCAGCTCTGGTAGTATGCGGAGTATGGGCAGGGGAGGAGGCGACAGGGGAGCTGCGGAGGTGGGAGGAGGAGGGGGAGGAGGAGGAGGAAGGATGATGGTGAAATCTGGAAGTCTCTCTGGCAGGACGCCTCCTAATGTTCATGACTCGGTGGCTCGTAGCGACAGCAGCAGGAGCGAGGAGCAGAAGATGCCAAGACAAGCAGGCCCTCCCACAGGTGGTGCGGCTGTCACGAGTGCAGAGGTCACGAAGGTGATGAATCGTGCAGGTGTCGGTGATACTGATGCCGCTGCTGGCGCTGCTGGTGCAGCTACAGGTTCAGAAAGAGGAGGAGTGGGGAAGAGAGGAGGAGGGGGAGGAGAAGGAGGAGGGCAAGCAGGAGGGGCGGAGAATGTAGGAAAGCAAGGTGGCATTGTAGCTGCAGCATCAAATGAATCAGCCGCAATGGTTGGAGCTGCCACGGGGGCAAGTGCAGGAGCAGCAGTGGGGGGAACAGCAGGCACAGGTGGTGCGAGCGTTGGTCTTGTGCGGGGAAACAGCCTGCAAAAGGGAAGTACTAACCTGTACAGAGCAGGGTCAGGCGTGCACATGCCCATGCATATGAACATGCCCATGCACATGCACATGCCCATGCACATGCCTATGGCCGTTCCCGGCGCGCGTGACAGTCATGCACTGTTACGAACAGGGTCTGGTATGGTAATGCAGATGCCTCTGCCACATCTGGCCGGGGGAGTAGCAGCAGGGTCTGCTGCTGGTGCTGGTGCATTAGGGTTTGGGATGTATGGAGGGGGTACTGCTGGTGCGGGTGCAGCAGGGGCAGGGAGGGGAGGTGGTGGTAGTGGTGCTGGTGCTGGTGATATGAACAACCCCTTTCACCGCTCCACGTCCCTTGGTGTCTCAGAAGGCCGGCTAATGGCCAGAGCAGCAGCGTATGGAGGTGCCATGATGCGCCCTCCCATGCACGCCATGCCCATGCCTGCTCATGCCGCCGCTGCTGGTGGAGCATTGGGACCAGCCGCTGGTTCTGCTGCTCCTGGAATGGCTGCTGCTGCAGCAGCAGCAGCAGCGCCAGGAGGAGCGTTCTGGCAGCGGTCTATGTCTTCCGCGCATCAGCACATGCACGCGATGCAGTATGGCCATTTGCCTGTGCCGCTGGGTCCTCTTGGCTTCCCCACGGGCCATTCTGCTGCGTCATTACTGCGCCATGGTAGTGGTCAGTTATTCCAGCCATACCCTGTAGGGGCGTTCGTACCACCCGGTACCTCTGCTGCTGCTGCTAATCCTTCTGCTGCTAATGCCGCCGCCGCAGCTGCTGCTGCTGGTGCTGGTGGTGCCGCTGCAGCTTCTGGCACTGGTTCGGCAGCAGCGGGCCATTCTGAAGCACCAGGGCATACAGCCAACCATGTGCAGCCACCCTCCGGCACCTCTGCTGCTGCAGCAGCCATGACACAAGGCCTGGCTTGGCAAACCGCGTCTCAAGCCGCTCCTGCTGCTGGTGGTGCTGGTGGCGGTGCTGCTGCTGCTGGTGGTGCTGGTGCTGGTGCTCCGAATGCTGCATCTGAGGCATGGGGAAGGAGCAGCACGATAGGAGCATCAAGGCATGGCTTCAGTTCCGCACACTTGCCGCGTGGCATGGGTGCGATGGGTTACGGGGCAGGTGCGGGCATGAACGCGAACATGAATATGGGCATGGGCATGGGCATGGGTGGCATGGGGATGGGCATGGGCAATGGCATGAATCTGGCTCGGTCCATGAGCATGGATCCAATACAAAAGGCCAAATGGAAGCAAGGCCTGAGGCTGAACATTCCCAAGGATGGCAGTGACGATGATGGGGAGGGGGGCAAGGCTGCCATGGGAGGGGCAGCAGCAGCAGCCCATGCAGCAGCGTCGGCTGGAAGAGCAGCGGCGGCCGCATCAGCAGTCGCAGAAACGCAGGCAGCATCCGCAGCAGCGCGGGGAAGAACTGCGGACACAGCTGCAGGAGAAGGAGCAGGAGCAGGAGCAGGAGGAGGAGGTAGAGGAGGAGGGGGAGCACGAGGCAGTATATTCAAGGATCCTGCAATCATCCAACGGCTGGGGGGACTCGCATCAGGAAGCTCTGCAGCGGCGGCGGGGGGTGGGAGGGGAGGGGTGCAGTTGTTGGGCGTTGGGGGGGATGGGAACCGGTTGCTGTCACGTGCTCAGAGCTGCAGTGTTGCAGAGCTGGACTTGATGCCTCCGGAGCTCATGAAAACCATGTCGTTCCATGCGCATAGTGGCCAGGGCAAGGAGTTTTTCCTCCGCCAAGTCACGCTTCCCACACAGCGCACGTCTGCTGCTGATGAGGTTTCTTCTTCTGCTGTTGCAGGGCCTGCTGCGTCTTTTGATGCGCCTCGAAAGGCCTCTGCTGCGGGACCTGCTGCGTCCGCTGTGTCTGGTGCTGCTGATAGTCGTGCTGGGGGAAGGGTGGTCAAAGCAACTAGATCAGCCAGTAGTGGTGGTGGTGGTGATGGTGGTGGTGGTGGGGTCAGCAGTGGTGGTGCTAGGACCGTTGCTGCCCCTGCTGCTCCTGCTGGGAAAGCAGCACTACCTGCTGGCACGGTATCATCATCTGGAGCTGCAGCAAACAAGGGCCAAGCGAGCTTAAGAATGAGGAAAAGTGGCAGCATTACTGGTAGTAGTAGCAACCAGGGAGGCGGCAGTAATCGCGAGGGTGGAGGCAGCAGCAGCGCTTTGAAGAGAGCGGAAGGCCAGAACTTTGGGAGAATCGAGCAGCAGAGGATGGTTAAAGGGGGAGAAATAAGGAGGAAAGAGGGAGGCGAGAGAATGAGGAGGGATGGAAGTGAGGGGAGAAGTGAAGCTGGAGAGAGTAGGGCAAGAAGCGCAGGCTTCGTACCTGCCTTACCTGCTGAGTCTTCCTCCTCTTTCTCCCCTTCTTCAACATGCTCCAGTCCCCCTCCTTCTGCACGCAGGGGGAGGAGTGTGATTGTCGATCCAGAGGGGAGAGACAGGAGAGGGATGAGGGAGAAAGCAGTCGGGGCGGTGTCTGGAGTAAGCAGCTCTCTAGGGCAGGCTTTGAGGGGAGGGAGGAGAGGGGCAGGTGGAGCGACAGGGAGGGCTGCAGCAGGCGGTGGAGGCGGAATTGGTGTTCAGAATAGAGTGGCAGGAAGGGGAGGTGAGGTGGGTGGGAGAGATAGGCCTTCTGTAGAGGACACTGCGTCTTCATCTTTTCAGTCTGATTACGGTGATGAGGACGAGCTGGAGGAAGGTGAGGTGCAGGATGAGGGGATGAGTGTGGAGGACAATGGTAGTGATGATGATGGGAGATATGAAGATTTAGAAGCTGCAGGGGAGGATGATGGGGATGAGGAGGATGGAGAAGAGGGTGATGATGCTGAAGGAAGTGATGGTGCGGAAGAATGGGAGGGAGAGGGAAGTAACAGTGAAGGTGGGGATATGTGAGACGTGGGAAAGCAATGTGCAGAATATGGTAAGCTAGTTGCTGGCATTTGTGGAAGGAATGGTAGCTTTGAAAGGGGCTTCGAATGGCAAGGGTGCTGGTGTTGTAAGTGAGGGATTTCTTGAAGCTAAACTCTCAAACGATAGTGGCACAACTGGCCGAGAAAACTCATCGTAGTGACACCACATGGTAGCTTGGTTTCATATTCTAATAATTAATGTCCAATAAGCAGTAGATACGAAGTTCTACACCTGGCTGTATTAATTCGTTCGCCTGCTTTGGTTTTCGTATGTTTTACGATTCTTGAGTCAACGACAACAGCCGATGAACTAGGTCCTCCCTAGCTAATTTCTTCGCTTTGACCCCTTCGACGACGGCGGTCAAATTTCTTCCGCCTAACCGACGATAGCGGTTTCTTTGTGACTTCCTGGACCTGGTTGTCTCTGCAATCGGCCCGGAAATTTGATAAGGGTCAGGAAGTTTAATATACGGTAAGGCTAGGGACGGATTAATTTGAGAAGTTTCGCTGTTTACATAATGTCTAGACAACTTCAGAAATCCACCTCCTAACTATTACTACGTTCGAAGGGTGTGCCCGGGAGTCAAGTTCCTGCATTTTCGCAAGAATTTCTCGCGGAGCTTCTGCTGACTGCCACCTGCAAGCCAAGCCTGGGTTTGCGTTGCGGAATGCATCCGCAAAAGGAGTTTCACATCACACCACCGCACCGTACCATATGCATCAGCTGGCGCTCCACTGGCGCTAATCCCGCCCCACCACCGCACCACCTGCTCTAGCGTCAGCCAGTTTCCCCGCCGCTGGCAAACCCGCCCCTGCCTGCTTCTGGTTTGTTCCATCCCATGCCACGTCGTTGCGGCTTGGTGCTGCGCTCCTTTTGGTGGCTCTTCGCATCCCCCACTGTCTCCGCGCCTTGGGAACTCCCTTCATGCCCATTCCCTCCCTCCACTAGGGGCGCCTGTTTCAATGTGCTCATCTCAACTCAGCCTTGAGAACTCCGTCAATCTGTACTGGCCCAACAAGAGAGCAGGGACCGCCATGTAATTCCCGTCCCATCGCTGTTCCGTTGCTCGAGTTTCCTGTTCCAAGTTAATGTCAACTGTATGTTACTAACCGTATGTCAACAAGCGGAATAAGTTGTTTTCTTACTTCCGTGAGATTGGCTGGAGCTGGAGAACCTATTGACATGGACGTTTCCTCGTAGATTCACAAGCTCGAAATCGTCACTCTCGCAATGGCGACTCACAAATTCACTCCTTGCAAGCAAAGCCTCTCTAAAGGACTACGCGCAACACGAAACATCGTACAGCTGCGGATATTTATCCTCGAAAAGAGTAGCCGTTTTATGCAAGTTCACGCATCCGCCATGCTGCTGCTGCTACTTGTCCTGCCGCTCCTGCTCGCATCGCTACCAGGTCTAGACGCAACTTGTTGCGGATCAACCAACGGTCCTGCGGTATCCAGCAGAAGTAGCGATAGTCTCGGAAGGGGACTCGGTCGAAGGGTGCGGTTCATGGGCTGGTACGGTAGTAGTAGCGTCGCTGCTACTACTTCTCGTATTAATAGTGGTATTCGAGAAGCGAGTAGACGCAATAGCGGTCGCAGCAGCAGCAGCAGCAGCAGCAAGGCGAGCGGGAGCAGTGGCGCCACTCGAGGACAATATTTTGGTGGAACAATGGACGATAATATATCCGGAAGAATTCTCGAAGCTTCAATTTTGTCAGATGATGGACTTTTTTCCGCAGCGCAAAGTTCATCCGGTGACTTATCTGGTAAACCAGACATTAGCCTGTAAGGGTGTTGATCAATTCTCGCTGATTTGCTACACATCCGGGCCCACCACTTTGTACCTCTCTCGTTTCCTTTCTCTCTGTCCCTTCCTGGCTTTTCTTTCTCCGCTTATCTCCGTCCTGCCGTCTTTCTTGTTGCCTTTCCTTCCGTATCCATCCTCCGTTGCTCGTTCTCTCCCTGTCGTCAGCAAGGCAATATTTTCTTACTTCCTCCGCCCTCTCTTGCGCATCCCTATCTCTTTCGCTCCCCTAACCAAACTAATCTCCACCCCAGCCCCACCTTTCAATTCCCCGCTCCTCATCCCTTCCCATAAAATTTCCCTCCCCGCGCTTCTCAATTCCGCATTTAACCCTCCCCTCCTCACCCTCCGTCCCTTTCTCCGATTCCCTTCCTCTCCCCGCAGCCTCCGCCAACCTCCTTTCCAACCCCAGTTTTGAGGGCGGCAGCTGGGACAACTACGGCAGCGCCGTCACTTCCGCCTGCTTCCCCCCTTCCGCCTCTGCTGCCCCCTCCGGCCCTCTCCTGGGCACATGCGGAATCCGCCTCGCGCCCTCCTGCTCATCTTCTCCAGGTGACTCCTGCTGGGGCGCCCTGGGTCAGGTGGTTCCAACAGAGCCAGGTGCCGTGTACCAGCTGCAGTTTTACTTTACTGTTCCAGCACCCTCCTCCTCCTCTTCCTCTTCCTCTTCCTCCTCTTCCTCCTCCCTCTACACGCCACCGTTCGAGCTTCAAGTGAAGATCAGCGGAGCACCAGTGCTCTTCACATCCGATTTTACCACCGCCACAACTGACACTAGCAGCAGCAGCCAGAGCAGCGTGGGAGGGTTGGTGCCGGGGCGATTCGCCATGGGGTCTGTGCTGTTTGCTGCGGCGGGGACAGGCAATACGAGCATTGTGTTCCAAGTCAACAACACGGCCTTCAGCGCTATCATTGATGCTGCTGTGCTCACCAGAATCTACCAGAATGGTACGTGCACGTTCGCGTACTGCTTCTGCTGCTTCTGCTGCTGCAGCTGCTGCTGCTGCTGCTGCTGCTGGCACTCGTCCCTGCTGCTTCATTCATCTCGGTTTCTCTCTCTCCTCTCCCTCCCTCGTCTATCGTTCTTACTCTACTGCAACTCCAATCGTGTGTCCATTCACAAGCTCGCTCATGCCATCATATGTCTCCTCCTAACGATCCCCCCTTTTCCACCCACCCTCCAACAGTGACGTCCCTCTTCTCGTTCCCAGCTCCTCCCTCCTCCTCTCCTCCTCCCCCGTCCCCCTCCTCCTCCTTCATCTTTTCCGGCTCTGCTTCACCCAGCCCTGTCTTTGCAACCAGCCCCACCTCTTTGCGCCTCACACCACCCATTGCTGCCGCTGCCTCTCCCACCGATTCGGGCGCTGGTAACACTGGTGGTGGTGACACTAGCGGTGGTAGTAACCCAGCAGGCAGTGAGGAGAACTACTTTCTCCTTTCCACTGGCGCCGCTTTCTTCCCCTTGCCTCTGGACCTTCTCTCTCTCCCACCCGGCCCCCCTTCCTCCTCTTCTTCCTCCTCCTCTGCTTGCGCATCAAACTCCTTTCTTTCATCCTTCACTTTCACCGCACTCCCTACTACCGCCTCCTCCTCCTCCTCTCCCACGCCCGTGCCCTCTGGTGCACTTTCCTTCACTCTCTCCTCTACGCCTACAACTGGATCAGGAGCATCCTCCCTTGCATTTGCACGCATGTGCCACGGCCCACCCCCTGCTCCGCCTTCTTTCTCCTCCCCTCCACCCCCTGCCTCCTCCTCCTCCGCCTCCTCACCTTCATCGTCCCCTGGGCTCCCTTTCCTAGCTCCTGGGAACGTGTCCATTATGCCGTGCCTTCCAAGCGTCGCTGTCCTCCTGAATAGCTGGCAGGATATATCCCTTGCTGACAGCAGCAGCAGCAGCAGCAGCAGCAGCAGCAGCAGCAGCAGCAGCAGCAGCAGCAGCAGCAGCAGCAGCAATGGCAGCAGCAGTGATGGTGCTGGTGGCAGTGCCAATGCTCAAGAAACCGTAGGCCTGGCTTTCAACTTCGATGCGAACCCTCTCTTTTCAACGCCTGCCACGGACCTACTTGCTGCTGCAGCAACTACCAGCAGCAGCAGCAGCAGCAGCAGCAGCACGTTTCTCGACGGACAGCCGCACACAGTCACAGTTGAGTACTGTGCCCCTACACGCACTCTCTCTGTCGCCCTCTTCTCTCTCCCTTCTCCGACCGATCCTTCCTCCACCACCGATCCTACTGCCTCCTGCCCTCTCTCACAGTACGTCGCCTCTACCAGCAGCAGCAGTGGTAGCAGCACAGGTGGCGTTTTCCAAGCACCGCTGGACCTCTGTACTGCTCTGTGGCCTGACACTCTCAGCAGTGCCAGTGGCAGCAGCAGTGGCGCATGGCCGTTCTATGCTGGTCTGGCGGCAACAGCAGTGGGGTTCGAGTATCAGATCTCCCAATGGAGTTTCCAAGGTGCGTGGGAGGGGTGGAGACTGAGAGATGGAGAGGGAGACGGGGATGACAGTTGGCTTAGCGCGGAAATGGTTGTTTGGGTTGAGTGGCTGCACTGGCAGGTTACAGCGCCATGGCAGTAAAGCATGGGCGTTTTAGGACTTCTCATACTGCGCCTAGCCTAGCTTAGTGCTGTGGCGATAACGCATGGTTGGGGTGCGTGTGTGCGTACCGCATGGGTTTTGAGCAGTGCAGTGCAGTGTGCCCTTAGAGATCAGCAGACGCATGCGCACTCATCCAAACGCGTCCCCTCCTCCCTTCCTCCTCCCGTCCTTCTGCCTCTACCTTTCCCCTTGCTTCTACCACAGCTTTTCCACAACAGCAAGGCGCCCCCCCAGGCCCACCCGCAGGAGCCCCTCCGGTGACCTCTACTCCAGCAGGCACAGCGTGGGGTGCGATCAGCAACGGAGGCTTCGAGTCTGTGCTGCTGCGCCCCTCACACTCCCTCACTGCACCGGACTCCACCTCTCTCCCTTACTGGCGCCTCACTCAAGGCAACGTGTCCGTCCTCGTGACACCCCCTCCTTCCTCCTCCTCCTCCCCCTCCTCCTCCTCATCGTTGTCATCCGATTCTTCCACTTCTCCTTCCTCCTCCTCCCCCACCCCTGTTGACGGGTGGCTCCCAGGGGCCAATATCCCCCTGCGGCCCCTCATTGGCTCATCCAGTCTCGTCCTCCTCAGCTGCCCAAATATTTTTTTCCTCGGGCAGGCATGGCCCGGGGCAGAGTGCACGTCGGGCAGCGTAGAGCAAGAAATAATAGTTTCATCCGGGCAGCAGTATAACCTGACCCTATCAGTGTTTGGCACTCCTGGGGCGTCAGTTGAGGTGCAAGTCAAGGGGAATGGCGTGGTGGAGGGAAGCACAGGAGGAGAGATTGGCTTATTCAAAACACTCACCCTGCAATGTTCAGATACCGTTATCCCCTCTCCATCCTCATCATCTTCCTCTTCCTCCTCTTCTTCCTCCTCTTCCTCCTCTTCCTCCTCTTCCTCCTCCTCGTCTTCGTCCCCTTCTCCCTCTCCCTCAACCCCTCCTTCCACAGAGTGTAATGCCTCCACTGTAGTATACATCCAATCCTCCTTCTCCCTCACTCCCTCTTCCACTTCAGCCACTGTCACCCTCACGCCTTTACCTCCACCAGCCGCCTCTTCAGCAGGTGGGGAAGGAAGCAGCAACAGCAGCATCCAAGCTAGCAGTAGCAGTACCAGCAGTGTTACCGGCAGCAGCAGCAGCAGTGAGCGCACGTTCTTTGTTGCAGTTGACGGCGTTTCACTCCTGCCCATCTCCTCCAATGGCAAGATCCTTGTTACCTACAGCCTGAATCGATAGCATTCTACAATATGGCCTATGTCTTGCCTTCTGTTTCTTGTGAAGTTTCTCACTCTTTCTTCCGCTCCTCTGTTACTTTCCATTGCCCTTCGCCTGTCTCCTCATCATCACACTATCTGTTCGAGATGCTCTTGCCTGATTCCATTCTCCTTACTATGCTCTGATGTGTTTGTTTTCAGCGATTTCAAAACGCACCCCACTCTTTTTTAAACACTTGTTACGCTCTCGTTGACCCCACGTTACTATCGTCTGCCTCTTCATCTCTCCCACTTCCCCTCCCCTTCCAAATCAACCCACATCAACTGCACCGTCCATTTCTTCCCTTCTCCGTTTCTTTGCATCGAGTACAGCAGCCGATGCAACAGCCGGTGCAGCAGAAAGTGCAGCAAATGCACCAGGGTCAGGAGGAGGAGGGGGGGAGAGCAGCGGAGGGAGTGGAGGGGGGGTGAGTCCGTGGGCGATCGGTGTGATCATACTGGCAGCCCTCTTTGCGTCCTCCTGCATTGGCTGCATTTACTTCTGGATCCAAGCGCGACGCAGCTGTGAGCATCTCATGATAATCATAATTCTTTACCTATGTCTGGTTCAAGCTGGTGTTAGTCTTGAGGTGACTCGAACCTCCCTCCTTCCCATCCTCCGTACCAAGTCCTGTCATACCTCTCGTTTTCTTACACCTAACCATTTGCCCTTTCTTCTCCCACACACCCAAGCATTCCCATATCTTGAACGTTGAAACGGCTCGAAATTCACCCCATTCGGGATGCGGATCTGGTAGAAGGTCTTTTCGGGTGCCTCAAAAGCCTTTTCCTTCTCTCCCACCCGCCCACCCACACAGCCCACATCTTAACCTGGGAAGACACGGGAATAGGCCAAGCCAAGGCGTTCCAAATATTCAAGCTCTCAGAGATGCAGAGAGCAACAGACAATTTCGCCCCGCGCCTGCTCCTTCCAGACGGCGCCCCTCCTGCTGATGCCACCCCCACCACTCCCACTTCTGCTGCTGCTGCGGCGGCTGCTGCGGCTGCGGCTGTGGCTGCTGCGGCGGTTGGGGGCGTGGCTGCTACTGTTGGTGCTGTTGCCGGGGCAGCAGCACGCACGCCAAAAGGAAACGCTGAGAGACATTGGCCCAGTAATGCTGATGGTGCTGCTGGTGCTGCTGTGACTGCTGGTGCTGCTACCACTGCTGCTGGTAATGCTTCTTCTGGTGGTAGTGGTCGCGATGCGTTTGTGGTTGGTGGCGGAGCAGGGGTGGGGGGCACAGGGGGGGCATATGGAGATATGTACACTGCGAGAGGACCAACCGGGCAGATGTGGGCCGTGAAGCGATACAAGCAGGTGGAGTGGGTGGGCAGGGGGAAAGGAGCGGGACGAGGACGCGGGGGAAGGAGGAGATGCGTAGGGCTGAGCGCAGGAGCAGGGAGAGGAGCAGCAGAGGGAGCAGATGAGGAGTCACAAGAGGGGCTGGAGCAGGGGCAGCAGGGAGGACAGGGGCAAGGGCAGCAGGAGGGACAGGGGCAAGGGCAGCAGGAGGGACAGGGGCAAGGGCAGGGGCAAGCGCAGGGCCAAGCGCAAGAGGAGCAGGGGCTATCATTCCTGGAGGAGGTTGGTGTGGTGGCCAGGGCACAGCACAAGAGCGTGGTGCGCATCCTGGGGGCGTGCCATGAAGGGCTGGAGCGCCTAGTAGTCTACGAGCACCTTCCCCCGCGCTCGTCCCTCTTCCACCGCTTGCACCGGTGCCGTGATGATGTTCTGTCGCTGGAGCAGCGGCTGAGGGTTGCTGTGGAGGTGGCCGAGGGGCTGTGCTTTCTGCACTCGCAGCGCCCGCCGATCGTGCACCGGAATCTGAAGCCCGGGAATATCATGGTGTCCGCATCTGGGATGCAGGTGCGGTGGGGTAGGGGAGAGAGGTGGGGTGTGAGGAAGGGGGGATGGTTGAGGTGAGGGAGAGTGGGGATGGAGAGGAGAGGGGGTAGATGATGGGGAAAGGAGTTGTTGAATCGAGAGTGGCAGAGGAAGAAAGGTGGTGCTGCACGGTTCCCTTCAGTGAGTAGGTAAAGCTGGTGGATTTCTAAGTCGTCTCAGTATTCCCCCTCTCGTTTCCAACCTCTCCCTTCCCCTCCCCTCTCCCCCCTCTCCCTTCCCCCCTCCCCTTCCCCTTTGCAAGCAGGCGAAGTTGGCGGATCTGTGCTTTGCGCGGCTGTCCAGTGAGCGGCGCGGCAGCGTGGTGCCGAGAAGGGCGCAGGAAGAGGGGTATGTGGACCCGGAGGTGGTGCTCATGCCGCACCAGGCGCCACACACCAAGTCAGACGTCTTCAGGTGTGTGGCTCTTTATGGGTGTGAGTGTGTGTGGGTGTATGTATATGTGGTTAGAGACGTGCGTGCCTCACGAGGAGGGAGGGTATGTGGACCCGGAGCTGGTGATTATGCCGCACCAGGCACCGCACACCAAGTCAGGCGTCCTCAGATCTCTGCCTCTCTCTGCCTCTCTCTGCCTCTCTCTCTCACTCTCTCTCATTCTCTCTCTGCCTCCCTCTGACTCTCTCTCTGACTCTCTCTGCCTCTCTCTGCCTCTCTCTGCCTCTCTCTGCCTCTCTCTGCCTCTCTCTGCCTCTCTCTCTCACTCTCTCTCTGCCTCCCTCTGACTCTCTCTCTGACTCTCTCTCTGCCTCTCTCTGACTCTCTCTCTGCCTCTCTCTGCCTCTCTCTGCCTCTCTCTCTGACTCTCTCTCTCTGCCTCTCTCTCTGACTCTCTCTCTGCCTCTCTCTGACTCTCTCTCTGCCTCTCTCTGCCTCTCTCTGCCTCTCTCTGCCTCTCTCTGCCTCTCTCTCTCACTCTCTCTCTGCCTCCCTCTGACTCTCTCTCTGACTCTCTCTCTGCCTCTCTCTGACTCTCTCCCTCTGACAGGGTGGCTGGTCATTACCTTGCAGCATATGCCCTTCACCTCCTACACCCCCCTTCGCACTGCTCCCCTCCATGACCTTCCCCCAACATTCCCGTCTCTCCCCTCTCTCCCCTCAACTCCCTCACTCCGCTTTTCCCCTCACATCCCCCCCTCTTCCCCCCTCCCCCAGCTTCGGTGTGGTGCTTCTGGAGCTGCTGACGGGGCGCCTGGCTATCATTAGGCAGCACGTGCACTCCACCTCTCGATTCCCCATCACTCCCTTCCCCCAACACTCTCCTCTCTCCCCCCCCATCGTCCCCCCTCTCAGCTATGGCGTGGTGCTGCTGGAGCTGCTGACGGGGCGCCTGGCCATCATGCCTGACCAGGACGACCCCCACCAGCGTCTCAACATCACTGACTGGGTACGTAGTGCAAGGAACGGGGGAAACCGGGGAACGGGGAAACGGGGGTAAAGGAGGAAAGGAGGACGCGGGAGTGGTGGAAAGTGGTGGGGGGAGGTGGATTGAGAACTGATGGGGCTGGGTAACCTGTATGGAGGGGCGCGGAAGAGAGTGGATGTGGGAGGTTGGCACTTTTAGAAGTGTTACATCCTTTCTTGTCACCTCAACCCCCAACCCTCCAATCCCCCCTCCTCCCCTTCTCCTCCCGGCCATGTGCCCCATTTCACCTGCCCACGCCCTGCTTCAATCCAGGCCGTCCATTACATCAAGGAGCACGAGGTGCATCTGATCACAGACCCACGCATCGCCATCCCAGCTCACCTACAGGCCTTCCAGGCACTGGGAGAGCTAGCAGTGGACTGCGTCAAGATGCCGTCCCTGCGCCGCCCTAGCATGCCCACCGTACTGCGCCGTCTGCTAGTGATTATCAAGCGCCGCTTCAGCCTGCGGGGGACTCCGCCCCCCGATCCCACCTTCAGTGGGTTCTATGCTGATGTGGCAGGTGATGCGACAGATGCTGCAGGGGGTGGTGCTGGTGGCGGTGCTGCTGCGGCGGCAGCAGCGGCGGCGGCGGCAGCGGCGGGTGGGTGTTTTTTCAGTGGGGAGATGCTCAACAGCCAGGATCTAAACGAGGCCTTTTTCAGTGGGGAGATGAGCGGGGATCTGAGTGGTGACTATGTGAGCAGCCAAGCGCACGCCTTTGCCAGTGCTGCTGGTAGCGGCAGTGAAGGTAGGAGTGGTAGTTTCGGCACGGGTGGTGGTTCTGGCGCCCCGATTCCCGGTCTGTCCGGCGAACTGGTGAGCAGGAGTGCGCTTAAGAGAGGTAGCAGGGCAGCGGAAGGGAGTGGTGGTGGTACTGTTGCTGCAGGATCGGCTATCAGTGAGGGGGACGAGGGCGACGGGGTTGGGAGCAGAAGCAGAGGGAGCCGCGGAACAGGGAGTGTTGGAGGCAGTAGTAGCAAGTCTGGCGGTGGTGGTGGTGTTGTTGGATGTGGAGGAGGAGGAGAAGGAGGAGCAGTGCTGGTCTCTCTTCCTGAGGATTCGGGTAAAGTTGACAGATCTAGCGGCATGGATAGTGGGGAGGGTGTGGAGGGTGTGGAGAGTGGGAGGTTGGCATCTGAGCTTGAGTGTGTGGCTCTGGTGGCAAGAGACGCGCCAGGACAAGTGCAGGAGGGAGGAGGAGGCGATTGTTTAGATGGAAGTGCTGATCGTGGTGATGGTGATGGTGATGAGCGTAACGAGGAGGAGGAAATGGAGTATGATTCTGCAACTTCTTCGTCGCTTCCTCTGTCGGTGGGGTCTAGAACACGAGTGAGGAGCCTTGCACCTGCTGCTGCACTGGCACCATCGCCACTGTCAGCGCCACTGCACACACCACCACAACCTCCCACAGTGCTGCAAGCAGCAGCAATCATACCGGCAGCAGAGGTAGACCAAGCAGCGGAAGTGGGAGCAACACTTGCAGGAGCGACGGCGGCAGCAAGAGCAGCAGCAGGAATGACCTCAAACGATGAAAATGATTATGACTACCAATATGACAACGACGGCGGTGAGTTGTACAGTCTGCGAGTGCTCAGTGGGGAGATAGCGGGGCCGTCGTCGGCGAGCTTGGCAAGGGGAGTGGGGTATGAAGGAGCCGTGCATTCAGGGGAGCTGCGCTCAGGGGACCTGGGCAGTGGGGTGAGCAACAGTGGGGAGATTCCTTATAGCTTTGGCATGAGCGGTCTACGCGGAGGGAAAGAAGGCTTGACTTGAAGATCAAAGGGAATGAGTCAGGTAGGGGCATGCCTGCAAGCAGGCACAGCAGCTTTAGTGCCAGCGGAAGTTGTCCGCCGACTGGGTGGGTAAGATTCTTTCTTGCTTGTTTGGATTGTGAAGTAGGATGCCGTACTCTGCCCTGAACATAAGTTATCATGTAGCAACACGGATGCTAATTCGGACGAGTAAGCAATGTCTCACGGCTAAATCACTTCACCCCACTAACAGTCGTTCTATTTTGTGCAGAAGGTCGATATATCAACAAGTAGCTTAGAGCGTATTCCTACGGGGCCACCTCGTATCAAGAATGAAATTGACTTTTGTTTACGGTATAAAACACCTTATATCAAGAATAGACCGAACCAGCGCACCAATGAAAATGCTCGCACACCCAGAAGTGAACGTGCTGATTTTCCGACGCACGGTTCCAGTTGACGCGAAGTCGTCAGTCCAGTGAATGCGGCCGACAAACAGTCATGCGAAACTGCACACGGTGGCAGTCGTGCGCCGCGCGCGAACGTGCAAAGTGTGCAAACTTGTTCATGCTGGGTCGCAACATGCCACATCAGCTGTTGATGGAGTCGCACATGTGGGTTAACCGGCAACTTTTACTGATATGAGGTTTTGGCGAACTTGTCAATTTACAGGCAGGAGTACCATTCTTGATACGAGGTGGCCCCGTAGGAATACGCTCTTAGTCCATTCAATGCCATCCTTTCAATTTCTGCCACGCTCAGGTCACTTGATGCGTCCCCAGTCACCCTGCCACTGCATACCCTGCAGGGGGTAACCATCAATATGTTAGAACAAAAGGCACTGGTTAATAATGGAGCCACCAGAAACATGTGGAATGGCTGTTGGAGATTTGTCCGGGGCACAAGGCACGAGTTCACTTATAGGCGAAAAGGCTCGACGTTGTCAGCGCGCTGCCCGTTACATCCTTCGATCCAGGTAAATCATGCCGTAGATCATGCCATAAATTATGCTCCCATGGCGCCGATCCAGGTCTATCATCCTCTTCGACTGGCACGTCCTGAGGCTGCTCCTCCACTGGCTGTGGGTGCGATGCTATTTTCCGCACGTGAAGAGCCTTGCGCAGCACCGCCTTTCACGGTAGATATTGCAGCGATCAGATGCGCGCGCCCCACGTTGCCCTCGGGCTGAGACTGCGCGTGCTTTTTCCGCCTGACCGTCCAGATATAGACGAACGCCGCCAGACCGCCTGCCAGCAGCAGCACCACGAGGCCCACGCCAATGCTGATGCCCAAGATCAGGGCCGTGTTGCTGCCTCCAGCCGGCGGGGGTGGAGGCGGAGAGGGAGGTGGCGGGGAAGGAGGAGCTAGGGGAGGCGGAGGCGGAGAAGGGGGGCTGGGGGGAGGCGGGGGGGATGGTGGAGGGGGTGGCGGAAGCTTAACCTGGTATTGAATGTCCACCGGCTCCGTGAGCACGAAGAAGTAGCTGCTGTTGAACGTGTTATACTTGAGACACTCTGCTTGATCAGAAGAACCTTGAAGCGTCAGCGTCTGCTGGTCTATACCGCCTTGGAGATTTATCTGAGTGCACTTTCGTGGAAAAGAAAAAAACGATTGCGGAACACCAAGAGACAGCTGGAATGATGTGTACTGCGAGTAATCGCTTCCCAGCTCCACGATGCTGAGCTCTTTCTGCTGTGCCGCTGACCCCACGGGAGTGCCGGGGTAGAGGCGGAAGGAGACGATGGGCGAGAGGAACGCGAGCGGAGTGGCGTAGACTGGTGGGTGCTGCGCGGAGTCCGGAAAGGGCCACGTGCGCGACGTCAGTGGCGTGGCCGAGCCCTGGGACTCGGCGCGCTGCTCGAACCGCAGGTGCAGCAGCGCCACGGTTGGAGAGTACGGCACCGGCTTGCTTTCTCCGTTAGTAGTGAGTTCCTCCCATATTATCCTGCTGATATCCGCCGCGTTTAGCAGGCGGACCTTGGCCGTGACGACCACGTCGGGCGCCAGCAGCGTGCGGAGCGCATCAGTGGGGACATCGCTCTCCGCGCCGACGGTCATGGCGGCCACCACGCCGTACATCACGGGCTTCAGCGCTGCTATCGCGCGCTCCCACGCCGAGCTGCCGGAGGAAACGGGAGGTGACGACGCGAGCTGCCTGCCTCGAGCATCTCTTGCAACGAAAGCGCGACCAATGCCGCTAGTAAACTGGGTGTCAAATGGTTGACTGTGGTCGCTTGCTGGCAAAGCGTGTCGTGCATTACTGGCAGTCGGTACGATCTCGGCGCTCAAAACGCAATGGAGGACAGATAGTAGCGTCAACACAAAAAGCCAACGGCGACGACAGCAACAGAAAGAACGGAGAGCCATGGAGGCAGATGGGAAAATAGCCTTCTGTCGTGGAACTGGTATACAAAACCTAGAAAGACAATTTTTAAGTGGGCACTTTTACCCCGTCCTAACCGAGCAGAAAATCATCCCCTGCGTTTGATTCGTGCTTCGCATTTCTAGGGCGGTGGATGGGTGTTGTGGTGGGTGGGTGGTTCTGTGGAGTGTGTCGGTCGGTGAGGTTTGGGAAAGAGGCTAGGAAGGGGTTGGCTTGGCATGCTTGCTGGTGGTGTTCGGCTCGGCACGGCAGCAGTTATCGCCTCGCCTCGCCGTTGATCCCACAGTGGCGTACAGTGCGTAACAGGTTACGTACAGTATCTGACGCGCTGCTGACCCTTGATTCAAGGCTGTGCGTGGTTGATCGGTGATAACTTTACACCGCGTGATCTATCAATGACCACCCATTTCCCGCCAAGAAGTTCGAAGGCATTCCCGATAAGGTAGAAATGGTAACCAATTAGATATACGCCACGTCGTCAATACAGTGTTCACCAGAGTTTGCGCAATTGATGACGTCTAAGGGTGCTGGTTTCGCACTGGACAAGGAAGACGGAACAATAACAATCAAATACAGTATCTGGATTTCCAGGATGAGAAATGGCATGCTGTGTTAAAGCCCGCATGCAAAATAGTGACCCCCGTCGTCCCAACTTGAATGAGGAGTTGCAAGTGAGGATGAAACCAGTATCAAAAACACTGTTTCAAACGATTTGTATGGGCAGAGTGAACTCATGTTCTTGGCTCTCACCACAATGGAACGTAATGGTTCCCGCCAAAATGAACTTTCTTTCTCATATCAGCCGTCGCATTTTTGCGTACCGCATCCGCACGACAAACCTCAGGCGATGGTTTCCCATCGCAGGCCCAACCTCATTTTCAAACTGGTGATGGGTGCATTACTAGATTTCTGTCACTCCATTCATCACTAGTTTCCGCATAGCATAGTAAGTAGTATAGCTGAAAGCACAGGCGTTCGTGTCATAGCCACGTAATTACCGACGAGTGCGTCAATCGTCGACTTAGCAAGAGTGTGAAATGTAGGTTTACATGGCCTGGTAGCGCAGTGCCAGTTTCCTGTCTCAATCAATTTGCCCGTCGCCTCGCTCTTTAGTCCGTCCCGTCGCCTTTCCGTCGCCCTCGCAAACACACGCGTAACGGCCCTCCCGTCGTCGTCACGGTCTCCCCTCCCGGTCTGTTATTCTCCCGTTCACCCCTCTTGTCCTCTCGCCCTCGCGATTTCCCTCCGATCCCGTCGCCTTCCCGTTCTCCCGCCCCTCGCCTTCGATGTCCCCTCTTCCTTCCCGTCGCCCTCACTATCTCCCTTCCCTCACGTTGCCTTCGATGTCCCCCTTTTCCCTCGCGATATCCCTTCCCCCTCCCGTCGCCTGTCCGCTCTCTCTCCCGTCGCCTGTCCGCTCCCCCCGCCCTCGCCTTCGTGCTCTTTCTCCCGTCGCCTTCGTGCTCTCCCTCCCGTCGGCTTCGCGCCCTCCCTCCCGTCTCTTTCGCGCTCTCCCTCCCGTTGCCTGTCCGCCCTCCCTCCCGTCTCCTTCGCGCTCTCCCTCCCGTTGCCTGAACCCCCGTCCCTCCCTTCACCTTCGCGCTCTCTCTCCCGTCGCCTGTCCGCTCCTCCTCCCCTCGCCTTCGTGCTCTCTCTCCCGTCGCCTTCGTGCTCTCCCTCCCGTCGGCTTCGCGCCCTCCCTCCCGTCTCCTTCGCGCTCTCCCTCCCGTTGCCTGTCTGCCCTCCCTCCCGTCTCCTTCGCGCTCTCCCTCCTGTTGCCTGTCCGCCCTCCCTCCCTTTGCCTTCGCGCTCTCTCTCCCGTCGCCTGTCCGCTCCCCCTCCCCTCGCCTTCGCGCTCTCCCTCCCGTCGGGGCCCTCCCTCCCGTCTGCTTCGCGCTCTCCCTCCCGTTGCCTGTCCGCCCTCCCTACCTTCGCCTTCGCGCTCTCTCTCCCGTCGCCTGTCCGCTCTCCCTCCCATCGCCTTATCGCTCTCCCTCCCGTCGCCTTTCTCCTTCCCCACTTCATCTCCTATCGCTCACGTCCTCCCCTCCCATCGGCATCGCGCTCACGTTCCGCCCTCCCATCACCATCGCGTCGCCTTCGCGCTCATGGCCTCCCCTCCGATCACATCGCGATGCAAGTTGCGACTGATCGTATCAGAATTCGGAAACAACTTCAAGTCGGTCTTGTTACTACTTGGGGACTTGCCCTGTTCAGAAAAAAACACCAAACTTTCTGGAATTTTTCATGAGCTTTCTAGTGGACCCAACTAGAAGGGGGGGGTCACTATTTTGCATGCGGGCTTTAATAACACCCAACCAGCTAGTGTTTACTTACCATATGAGAAATGTACCTCAGACACACAACTGAAATGTACCTTATTCAGACCCTGAAAAACAGAGCCACCGTAAAACTAGCTACATTGTATCAAGTACCTGTTGCAGACACTACCGGATCTGGTCTTGGTACGCCAATGCATGAAAATCATATTTCAAGAGAAAATTATCATCTCGTCCTCCCTGCATATCTTCACATTCGAGCCTTGTTGTACCTCCGCCCGCCGACTCGGCGTGGGCGGCTTGAAAGCTCCCAAGAGAGCACGTAACCGGGTGCCTGCTGTTCGCACATTGATTGGCTTCCCAAGCACAGCTGAATACCCTGCCATGGCATACCGCCTCTGCAGTAGACATGAGGTACAACAATGGGTACATGCATGAGACAAAGCAGGCCAGAACAACATCCTAGAACAGCGGCCCTTGGTACATTCAAGCACATGCTAGGGGAATGAATGTGTTGCATGCAGGGAGAAAAGTGGGAGAAGGAGTTGGCTTACGATATCATCGGGCTCCACATTGGCTGAAATGGCCACAATAGGCGTCTCCAGGAGCCCATTGGCTGCTTCATACTCTCTCACACGCATGCACGCCTCACTGCCATTCATTACTTTGAGCCTGCCACATACAACCACATACACAGCAGCAGCAGTGCAGCAACAGACAGCACATGAAACAACGACTTGATGAGAGTGCAGAAAGGATGCAGCGCATAGAGAAGCTTTGAGAATGGTGCATGCACAGCCTGTGACAATGCATGTGCATGCACATGCTGTGTGGTGCATGCGGCATGTGGCATGCTGCATGGTGCATGGTGCACGTAGCATGGTGCAGGGTGCAGGGAGCGCACCTCTCATCGAGCAGCAGGGCATCGAAGCGTTCTCCGCGCTTGATGACTCGCTCCACGGCATCCATGCCATCCGACCCCGCCACCACCTCAAACTGCGCCCTGCTCATTCCATCAGGGGGATGAGATGGATGAGATGGATGAGATGAGAAGGGATGGGATGAGATGCGATGAAACTTTTGAGCGAGGAACGTTTCGGGAGTAGATTGCCACGAGAGTGACCACCAAGCAGGGAGAGGTGGATGTAGATTGTAAGACGAGGATGAGAAGACGAGAGGGCTGAGCTTGGCAGGTGCGAGAAGAGAGTGGGCGTGGTGCCTGCCTTTCAAGGGTTCGCCTGACCACCCGTATGTTGACCGGCTCATCATCAATCACCAGCACCTGCTCACATGCACATGCAAACACGACACCATGCACATACACATTCACGCAACACCATAAACATGCACACGCACACGCAGCAACGCGAAGTTGAGGATACATTGAGGGACAGGAGTCACTACTGAATGCTAGAGAAGCAGAGCAGATGGAGACGGCAGGGCACAGAACTATTTACAACGCTATGCTGGTGATTGGGGAATGCACGTACGGCTTCACCACACACACCAGCACCACACGCATCATACCCCCCCCCCCTTCTCCCCCACCCACCCACACAGACCACACAGCCCCACAATCAGCGCTCCCCGCCCACCTTATACTCCTTCGCCCCCGCCTCGCCCGATCCACCAGCCTGCCTTGCCCCTGCCCCCTGCGCCCTCTGCCCCTTGCTCTCTGCCCCTTCCACTCTTGGCACTGGCAGGCTCTTTGCACTCGCCAGCGGCTCGTGCACCCTGCCCCCACTGCTGCCCACGCCCCTGCTGCCACCGCCAAGAATGCCACCGCTTCCGCCACTGCTGCTGCTGCTGCCGCCGCTGCCGCCCAGGCTGCTCAGGCTGCCACTGCTGCTCCTCACACACCGTATGCTACCGTGACTCGGCCCAAACTCTGCCTGCCTGATAGTGTCACCTCCCCTGCCCACTTCCACAGCACCAAGCATCTCCCTTACCACTTCCCCACCCTCCACCTCTGCCCCTTGTGTTCCCATTGCTCCCGACGCTGCTGCTGCTGCTGCTGCTGTTTGCTGAGTGTCTCTCTGCGGCTGCACTGACGGGGGGGGAGTGGGCATGGAGAAAAGGTCCGATGCGCGCTTGCGAGGATGGGAGGTGACGGAGGAGGAGGACGGGAGGGACGCAGCGGGCTGCAGGCGAGGCATGTGTGAGAACACAGGAAAGCCTGTGGGCCCTCGTGCTGCTCCCGTGCCGTTCCAAGAGCCCTCAGACGCGTGGAGGAGCGAGAGGGAGGGCGAGGGGGAGGGGGAGTGGGTGGGCGAGGAGACGGAAGTGAGGAGTTGGGTGGAGGGGGAGCGAGAGAAGAGCGAGGCAGCAGGGATGGCAGTGGGAGCGGAGGGTGGGGGGCCCGGTGCAGAGGAAGGGGGATGGGACGGTGACGAGGGGCTTATGTGCACTGCACTGCTTCCTGCTGTTACCACCCCTGCTGCGACTGCTGCTCGTGCTGGTCCTTCTCCTGCCATTCTCACTCCCATTCCACGAACGTCCACTGCCCGTGTAGTGCTTAATGTGCCTGGTACCGCTCCCCCTGTCGCTGTTCCTGTCGCAACCGCTGTTGCTGTTACGGCTGCTGGTACTGGCAAGGGCTCTTGCTGAGCGGGTGTGGCGAGGGCAGCAGGGGCATTGGTGGCTTTGTGCAGAGACAGGTTCAAAGCGCCCATGAGCTTCGATGCTTCTCGTGAGAAGTATGGCGAGCTCCCTGCTGCTGTCCCCCCTGCCCCTGCTACCCCCCCTGCTCCTGCTACCCCTCCTCCTCCTGCCACTCCCCCTAGCCCTGCTGTCCCCCCTGCCCCTGCAGCCCTACCAGCTGCACCCCCTGCAGCCGTGGCAGCAGCAAGGGGCGATGCGGAAAGCGTGCCGAGGTTTGGCTTCAGAGCACGCACGAGGGCGTGCGGTAGATGCCGGGGGGACGACTGGGAGGAGGAGGCGGATGAGGAGGAGGAGGCGGAAGAGGTGGAGGAAGAGGAGGAATAGGAGGGGGGTGAGTGTGGCTGAGAGGACACTCTGAGTGTAGTAGCCTGTCCTTCCCCTACCCTCCCCCCTTGCCGCAATCCCGCGCGCCTGCCCCCAAATCCCATCGCTCCATTCACCAAGGGCTTTGCAGGAGGGAGAGGGCCGGCGGGAGAGGGGCCGGCAGGGGAAGGGTCGGGAGTGGAAGGTGAGGGGGGGCAGACGAGCAGGGAGAGAGAGGGGGCGGAACGCACTCGGACCATGCTGGACCCAGGCACACGCACGCCCTTTCCTCCTTCACCCTGCCCCCCGCCGTACCTACTGGGCGGCTGCCAGCTGTCAGGGTCTGGCGGGGCATGCCACTGTTGCTGCCTGGAGGGCCCGGCTGTTGGGCGGCATCCCTTGTCTCTTACCTCCTGCCCCTGCCCCTCCTCTGCTCCGACCCAGCCCTCCTCTGTGACACTCTCTAGCCCTCCTATTCCTAACTCCCCCCTCCCACTCGCGCTCCCACTCCTCCCCTTCCTACGCACACAGCCCCCTTCCTCCTGCCTCTCCTTCCCCTTCCTCCCCTTGCTCCTCACCCATCCCGGCCCCCCTTCCTCCCTTCCTTCCTCCTCCTCCCCTCCCCGCCCCACATCCCGGCCCCCCTGCACACCACCCAGAGAAACCCCAAAGAGAGCAGCAGCAGCAGAGAGAGCTTGCGAGGTGGCAGCGGGGAGCATGAGCGCAGGCGTGATGGGGGCCGGGCAGGGCATAGCGCCCCACTGCTGCCGCACCGTAGACCCCACTGTCAACTCTACAAGCACTGCCACAGCATCACTAGCCACCACCTCTCTCACCACGTGGAAACTCCACTCTCCTTTCATGCACCTCCTCAGCTCGTCTATAATAGACGCCCCTTCCACTGCTCCATCCGCGCCTGCTGCTTGTCGAGTAGATGCCTCTGCTGCTGCTGCCACTGATGCTGCTGCCACGGCCGTGGCTGCTGCAGTGACCATGCCTGCTGCCGCTGCCGCTGCTTGCACGATTGCAGCACTGCCTCCTGCCCCGGACCCTGCGCCTGCTGCACTTGGTGCAGACGAACCTGACGGCGATGCTGCTGCTGCAGCTGCTCCTGGTGGCGTGGGAGAGGAAGGTATGTACGGGGAGAGAGGGAGCGTTGTGTGTGCGGGTTGTTGCACTGCTGACGGGACCACAAATGCTTGCACTTGCTGCTGCTGCTGCTGCTGCTGCTGCTGCTGCTGCTGCTGCTGCTGCTGCTGCTGCTGCTGCTGCTGGGAAGCAGCTGGGGTCACGCCTGTGAGGGCAGAAGAAGATCGCGCATAGCCAGCAAAAGCTCCCTGCAGCCCTGCACTCGTTCCGTCACCCTGTCCCTCCACACTCCTCCCATCCGCACACGCTACCATGGGTCTGCTGGCAAGGGGCGGTGCAATCAGCGACGCGGCAGCATGGTGTGAGTGCGCTGCTGCTGCTGCTGACGCACTGCCACGGACGGCGGCTGGTGCACCGGATAAAGGAGATGACAGCGACCTCTGCAGAATGACACCACCACTGCTGCTGCTGCTGCTACTGCCACCGGCACCAGCGGCGCCGTCGGCTGCAGCAGCAGGGGGGGCATCAGGCGGGGGGTAGCGGGGGGGAAAGGAGCGCCGGGAAGGGTCGGTGAAGGAGCGAGTTGGGATGCCGCCGTTGGAGGAGGCCGCCATTCGCTCCCTCAGCGCCGGCCGCGCCAGGTGGAACACCGAGGACGGCAGCTGACTCAGCAGAGAGTCAGCGCGCATGGCTTCAGGCGAGGCGGCCATTTGACGCGGAGATGGGGTACCGGCTCGGGGCAGTGGCGGGTATTGGCTGTAGTGCTGCTGGCTGGTGTGGTCGAATGTCCAAGGGTTGTTGGGGTCAGATTGGGTGCCTGATGTGAGTGCTTCAATGTTGAACCCCCCAGGCAAATCACTTGCTGGACTTGCTTCACTGAAACTGCCACCGCCACCAGCAGCGGCAGCAGCAGCAGCAGCAGAGGAAGAAGCAGGAGAGGAGCCACGCGGTGCAGTGTGGTGGGAAGGCGTGGTGTGCGTTTCATCATACCCCTGCTCCACCACAACTGCCAACCCAGGAAGGCCCTGCTGCCAACGCTGCTGCTGTGGTGCTTGCTGTTCCTCTTGCTGCTGCTGCTGCTGCTGCTGCTGCTGCTGCTGCTGCTGCTGCTGCTGCTGCTGCTGCTGCGACTGCTGCTGCTGCTGACGGCCTGTTTCCAAACCACTGCTCCCACTGATTCGCGTACCTGTTGTGCCCGCTGCACCTGCCAAGCTGCTCCCTCCCCCACCCCCTCTCTGCGCCACCCCCCTCCCTGGTGTGGGCGGGCGGCGGGGCGAGCGCGGGGCGGAGGGACAGGGAGGGCGGGGAGAAGGGGGGATGGTAGGAGTGGAAGAGTTGAGGGGTGCGGAGCAGGAGAGGGAGGGTAAAGAGGGCAGAGAGGGCGAGGAGGAGGAGGAATGGATGGTGGGGTGTGCAGGGGGGGCAGCAGCGGGAGAGGAGGTGGATGGGCTGCGCTTGAGAGGAGAGGTTGCTGCGGGCGGCGGGCGGAGTGAGGGGGATGATTTATGGAGGCGGGAGTTGAGCAGGAGTGTGTGCAGCATGTGCGCTGCTGGTCCCTCTGATGACGCTGCCTCTCCCGACTGGAACGACGGCTCACGAAACTCACCACCCCCCTTCCCCCCTCCCCCCCCTCCTCCTCCGCCTGCTCCTCCTCCTTCTCCTCCCCCTCCTCCCTTTCCTTCCCCAGACACATACTCTCCATCCCCCCCTCCTCCCCTTCCCCCTGTCACCACCGGCGCCACTTCCCGTGCTGCTGTATCCATCTGACCGCTGCTGTGCGTGGCTGCTGCTGCAGGCCCCCCACTAGTCAACTGGGCGCTTGACTCCCCACCCCTTGCCACTCCTCCCCTGTGCTCCAATGCTCTCTCAAAGCCCATCTCCTCCCTCCCCTCATCCTGCTGCTGCTGCTGCTGCTGCTGCTGCTGCCGCACCTTCCACCCAGACTCGGCCGTTCCCCTCCCCTCCCAGTTCCTTCCCCTGTGCTCCTCCGCATCAGGCCCACCCCCATCCCTCCCCACTCCCCCCCCTGGCATCCCCGCATCACCCCCACCCTGCTTCCCACTACCTCCCTCCGCCTCTCCCCCTCTGCGCGCCACCATCCCCCCTTGCTGCCGCACTGCTTCCCCCTCTGCCTGCCCCCGCGCCTGCCCTACCGCACTGCCCACCCCCTCACCCGCACCCGCGCCTGCGCCCAGAGCAGCAGAGCCAGGGGCTTGGGAGGGGGGAGGGGGGAGCGGAGGCAGAGCCAGGGGGCCGGTGGCGGAGGGGGAGGGCGGAGGGGATGAGGCGGAGGAGGACGGGGGGGAAGGGGGCGCGGGCAGGCCACTTGGAGTGGTGGCAGCATGGGCGGTGTGGGTGTGGGTGTGGGTGTGGGGCGGGAGCAGGTGCAGTTGCACCTCTAGGGAGAAAATAGAGCCCTTGCCCACCTCCGACGTGCACTTGATCTCCCCCCCCATCAGCGACGCTAGCTGCTGGCAGATGGAGAGACCTAGCCCTGTGCCGCCATACCTGGTGCGTTGGGGGAGAGCGGTGGGTGGGGAGTGGAGGGAGGAGGGTGGGGAGTGGAGGGAGGACAGATGCATGCGCAGCTATCAACGCAAGCTGCATCGCTTGTTGCACAAGCAGGAGTTAGCTAGCAACAACCGGTAACGACCAACATAGCCCCACCCGATGGATGCCCCATGCCCTGCACACCCTCCCCCACGCCCTACCTTACACCCCACCCATACCCCTCCCTGACCATGCAGCACCCACCCTCCCCTTCTCCCTCACCCTCCCCCTTCCACACCATATCCCCAACCCAACACCCCCTAGTGATCACACCCCTCCAGGGATCACATCACATCACATCACATCACATCACATCACATCACGCACTGGCTGGAGGCGGACTTGCGGCCCGTGGCGAACTGCTCAAAGAGCCGCTGCTTGAGGCTCTCGGGGATACCCTCGCCCGAGTCCGCCACTCGGAACACAAACCGCGCGCTCTCCTCCTCTCCCTCCGCCCCCTCGCCTCCCCCGCCGCCGCTGCTGCTCCCCACCTTGCCCTTGCCGCTTGCGCCGGCTGCCGCTTTGGAGAGAGCGGTGAGGGAGGAGGAGGAGGAGGAGGAGGAGGGCGACGGGAGGTGGCTGGGGTGCATGGCGATACCGATCTCCACCCATCCAGCGTGCGTGAACTTGATGGCGTTCCATGCGAAGTTGGATAGGATCTGCGCAGGGGAGTGGTGGTGAGGGGGTTGAGGGGAGGAGGAGGGGCGGGTGGGGGGGAGGGGCCAAGAGCAAGGGATAGAGAGGTGTGGGGCGGCAGCGTGGGGTATGAGTTGTGGTGGGGTGGGAGGATGTTGTAAGAGCAGAGCTGCAAGTAGAGGCCTTGGACAGTGGAAGGCAATGAATGAATTGGAGAATAAGGCACAGTGCCCAGAGGAGCCAATTTAGGATTTTGTGGAATAGTGGATTATATACCGTGTGCCACGGGCCACGTGCTGTGTCCTTCATACTGTACAGTGTAAGCCAGCATGCAAAGAGCACACGCACAAGCACAGCGCATGCATACCCCAGCAACCACACGCACCTGCTGCAGCCTGGGAGCGTCTCCCAGCGGGCGCACGTCATTACAGCGCGGGTCGATGTTCGCGTACAGCTGCAGGCCCTTCTTAGCCGCCGCCAGCCCCACCTGGCTCACCACCGCGTTCACTATCCTCGGCAGGTTCAGCTCGTGCCTCTCCAGCTCTATCCGCCCCTCCTGTATCTGACTCATATCCAGCACGTCTTCGACGATCTTCCTCAGCTGGTAACCGCACGTCGCGGTGGTTTCCACCAGCTCCTGCTGCTCCTCCGACAGCCTCGTATCCTCCATGAAGGTGATATTCCCGAGAATACCATTCAACGGGTTGCGAATCTCGTGGCACAGGAACGCCAGGTGCCGGGACTTGGCATCCTCCGCCGCTTCAGCCGCATGGCGCACCACCATGGCTTTTTCCACCGCCTTGCGCATGGTCACATCCTGCATGAAGCACAGCACGCGGGACCCCTTCCCCGCGCCTCCTCCTCCCCCATCTGCGCCATCCCCATCATCCTGCGGGTCATGGCACGCGCGCATGCTGATCACCGACTCGACCTGGCGGCCCTCGTGGTTGACAAAGCGGAAGTTGAGCGTGGGCGTGCGGTGGCCGGCGAGGGCGCGGTGGATGGCGAAGTCGAGGGAGAGCAGTGTGTCGCTGTCGGGCACCATCAGCACGCGCTCGTCCCCCACCAGGTCGCCCATTATGCGCTTCCCCACCGCCTGCTCCTTGCTGATGCCGCTTGTCTGACGGGGGGGCCGGGGTGAGCGGCGTGATGGGGGATAGGTGCGTGGGGGAATGGGGGCATGGGGGGAAGATGGGGAGTGTGGTGTGTGAAAAGGTGAGAGTGGGTGAGATGGGTGTGTTGGCGCGAGTGCAGATTGTGTGGTGATGACGGGGGGCAGGGGACGTGGTGGGGTGATGGGGAGACGAAGAACGTGCACTCAGCGCGGCGCCTCAAGAGCCACCTGCACGCACCTTAGCCATGGACGCATTCCACTCCACAATGCGGCCATCCTTGTCCACAGCCCAGATGGGCATGCTGGCCTTGTCCAGTATCTGCTCATAGTCGCTGGGCACGGCGCGCGTCTCGTTCTCCGCCCACTGCTGCATGGTGCGCCGCTGCTCCGTCACATCCTGCCCGATCATCGTCGCCCCCACTATCTCGTTCAGCCCATCCCGCTGGGGGGACACCGTCGCCATCAGCACCATCACCTCCTCCTCTTCTTCCTCCTCCCCCTCACCCTCCTCCTTCCCCTCTTTCCCCACCTCCTCCTCCTCGTCTTCGTCGTCCTCCTCCCCAACCCCGTCCCCCTCGCTGCCGTTCCCCTGCCCCTTTCCCCCGCATGCGCCGGGCGTGCGTGCGGGCTTGCCCTTGGGAGGGCAGCGCAGGAGGATTTCCACATGCTCCTGCGCCTGCCCCTTGCCCGCCATTACCTGCTGTAGCCGCGCCTGCAGCTGCTGCATGCTGCCCGCACACACCACCGACGACAGCAGCTGCCCCACCACCGACGCCTGGGGGGAGAGCGAGGGAGGGAGGGGTGGGGGAGGGGACAAGAGGCGGGGATTGAGGGAGGGGAGAAGGATTTTTTGTTTGTGAGGAAGTTGGAGGAAGGGGACAAGGCGGGGGAAGGCAAGGGGGAGGGGGACGCGGGAGGGGGTTCGAGAGGAGGGGGGTGATGTATGAGAGGCAGGTGTTGTCTTGCATGCCGTCCCCTCCACCATCCACCCACCCACCACCCAGCCCTCCACCATCCAGAATCTCATCTCACAGCAAGCATGGGCAGGAAGGCACCTTGGGGCGGCGAGTGAGCTGCGCGAGGCGCTGGTTCCACTCGGTGATGCGGCCGTCACGGGCCACAGCGAGGATGGGCGTGTGCGCTATGTCCATCATTCGCCCCAGGTCCCTCGCCACTATCGCCAGGTCCTGCATCGCCCTCAGCCTCTCCTCGTTCAACCGCACCTGTGGCAGTCATGGGGGGATGGGGGGAGAGGAGCAGGGAAGAGAAAGGAGCAGGAGTGGGGGGAAGAGGGGAACGAGGTGGGTTGGGGAGGGGAGTGCGGGTGGGGGAGGGAGGAGGGAGCAGAGGAGAGGTTGAGGGGCGGAACAGCCAGGGATATGGTGAAGAATGGCAATAGAAAAGGTGGTGCAAGGTGGCGCGGCGTACCGTTCGAAGAGCGAAAGACTGCGCTGCTGCCAGCACGGGCGGCAAGGTTGGAGGAGCATGCTCGAGAGGGTGAGACGCGACTAGGCAAGTGTTTGAGAGGGTGAAATTCAAAGTGGAAGCGGCATAATATTGTGCATCCAGTTTTCAGCGAGACGCTTCTCAGGGAGGTGATGGGTGGGAATGATGCAAGTGAGAGGGGAGGGGCAGAGAAGGGCAGGGCGGGGCAGGGGCAGCAGGGAACGCACGAGGATCATGGTCTTCATGGGCTCGCTGTTGCCCCTGAGTGCGTCGTACGCCATGCGCTGCAGCCCCTCCACTGCAACCACCTGCCATGCCATGCCATGCACGGGGAGTGGGGGAGGCGGGGTGGCAGGGGGAGGAGTGGGGAGGAGTGGTGAGGAGATGGGAGGAGTGAGGAGGAGGTGGAAGGAGGAACGCAGGGCAGACGAGGAGAAGCGGACGGGAGAGCAGCAAGGGCGGGTGAGGATGAAATGCCACATACAGAACGGAGACAGTGAGCAGCACCAGCCAAGCAAATTCTCTCTCCGTCTCCCTCCCTCTCTTGCACCCCTTCTCCCACTCCCCTCCATTCCCCTCCCCTCCCCCATAGATCCTCCCCCACAACACGCCTATCAATCCCTCCCACCCCACACCACACCTCGGAATACCCCCAACCCCCCAGCGCGCGTCACCTCGGACTGGGTCCACCCAGCAGGCTGCATGGCCAGCAGCATGCCCTCATCCCTGCCCGCCTCGCCCCACGCCCCTGCGCCCTCGCTGCCCTCGCCGCCCCCCTTGCTTCTCTCGCCGCTCCCCTTGCTGCACTCATTGCCCCCCTTGCTGCCCTTGCCCGTGCCGCAGTGCGGCGCCCCTGCTGTGAGTGGCTCCGCCCACGCCCAGTCCAGATGGCGCTGCTGGCCTGGCAGACACAGAGAGCGGCGCACGGGGTGAGGGGCGCACGGGGGGGGGGGGGCACACGGGGGGAGGGGCACACGGGGGGAGGGGCACAGGGGGGGGAGGGGCACACGGGGGGAGGCATAGTGGGGGAGGGGCACATGAGGGAAAGGGCACACGGAGAGAGGGGCGGTGAGAGGGCTGTAATAGAGCCTGCTGTGAGCGGCTCCGCCCACGCCCAGTCCAGATGGCGCTGCTGGCCTGGCAGACACAGAGAGGGAGGCGCATGCGGCAAGACAGGGGAGGTGAGAAGCGGAGACGGGCGGGGAGAAGGAGGGGAGGTTGAGAGGAGTCGTTTCATGAGGAGGGGAGATAGGAGGAGGGGAGATAGGAGGAGGGGAGGTGGAGTGGGATGGGCACATGAGAAGACATAAGAAACTGCAAGGCTGGCAGGTTGGGGGACACATGATAAGCCGGCTGCATGATAATGCGCACACATTCGCAGCGTGTGCATAAAAGGTGCATGTGCGTGCACTCGTGCACGAGTGTGGCAGGGAAGGGCAGGGCAGGGCAGGGCAGGGCAGGGCAGGGCAGGGCAGGGCAGGGCAGGGCAGGGCAGGGCAGGGCAGGGCAGGGCAGGGCAGGGCAGGGCAGGGCAGGGCAGGGCAGGGCAGGGCAGGGCAGGGCAGGGCAGGGCAGGGCAGGGCAGGGCAGGGCAGGGCAGGGCAGGGCAGGGCAGGGCAGGGTAGGGCAGGGCAGGGCAGGGCAGGGCAGGGCAGGGCAGGGCAGGGCAGGGCAGGGCAGGGCAGGGCAGGGCAGGGCAGGGCAGGGCAGCGCAGGGCAGGGCAGGGCAGGGCAGGGCAGGGCAGCGCAGGGCAGGGCAGGGCAGGGCAGGGCAGGGCAGGGCAGGGCAGGGCAGGGCAGGGCAGGGCAGGGCAGGGCAGGGCAGGGCAGGGCAGGGCAGGGCAGGGCAGGGCAGGGCAGGGCAGCGCAGGGCAGGGCGAGTGACTGACGGTGGCGGAACCAGAGCAGCACGTCGGCGTCAGCAATGGCAGCGGCGGCCACGGTGCAGTGCAGCGCCCACGCAGGGCCCCAGTCGCCTGGTCGCGCGGAGGAGGACACGAGTGGCGCAAACACTGGCTTGGTCACGCACAGGCGCGACGAGCTCTGCATCCATGCCACCATAGCCAGCACCTGGTGAGCGGGTGTGAGGCGTGACGGGGGTGAAAGGGAGGGGGCACGGGCAGAGCGCAGGTGGGAGCGGGTGGGTTGATTGGAAGGCGGTGGAGTTGGTTGAGAGGAGAGGGTGGAGAGCGGAGGCGAAGGGGGAAGGGGGAAGGGGGGAGTGGATGGAGAAGTAGTTGAGCACATGACTGTCAGAAGAACTATATGAGCAGTGCTATGGCTGTGGATAGAGTTTCAATAAGCCGACGGACACAGAGAGAGGGGAGGTGAGCATGAGCAAGCGCGATGGCACGGCGTTCTGAGGCGCGTGGAAGCTAGGTGGGGCGTGATGGCATGGCGACGCACCTGATCGTCTGTGGGACATGTGCCGAAGGTGACCACCTGCGCCCTCTCTGTGTGCACGTATGCCACTCCGTCACATGGCACCTGTGCTCCATGCATGCACAGCACACACAGCGCACACGGACACACACACGCAAGCATGCACAGATGATACACACACATGCACGCACACACACACACACACACACACACACACGGGCGCACGCATACAAACTCGCACACACACACTCGCACACACAAACACCACATGCACAGAGACAGGGAGGCAGCGACATGGGGAATGGCACGAAACGAAGGGAAAGCATGAGATAAGCGCAAGGAAGGAGCTATCAACCCCCCACCCGCACCACCCACTCCCGCTCTTCCCCTCCCCCTCCTTTTCCCGGCCCTCCACCCTCCATTCCCTCCCTCCCCACCTTCTACCCCCTCCACTCCTCCCTCCCCCCTTCCCCCCGCCTCCCACCCCGCCCTTCCACCGTTTCCCCTCCGCTCCCGCCCATGTCAAGGGCAGCACAGCACAGCACAGCACAGCACGTACGAGGTCCATGATGGAGGGGCTTTCGGTGACGAGGGACGGCGCCACCTGGTACGTCAGCCGGTCACAGATGCTCGTCTGCATCGCCTCCTGCCGCCGCCGCTCCGCCCGCTCCTCACTCTTCACCCGCGTCGCTAGGTGCGCCCGCAGGGCCTACACAAGGGGGAAAGAAGGGGGGGGAGAAGGGTGTGGGGAGGGTGGGGACGAGGGGAGGGTTGGGAGAGGATGGGGCATAATGGCAGCAGGCATGAGATGACTTTGCCACAATTCCTCATCCTCTCACTCACCCTTCACCATCCGTCCCATATCACAACAACCCATCCACAACACAAAGCACAAAACCACCTCTCCCTCTCCCTCAGCCCACCTGAACGATGAAGGTGCAGGCGGCGCGGTGCGCGCAGGTGACGGTCCAGGGGCGGTTGTAATGGTGGAAGATCACGAAGCCCCAGAGCACGTGGCGATCGCCCACGTGCAGAGCTAGTGGCATCAGCAGCACCGCACACACCCCCATGGCGCGCAGCAGCTGCCTCTGCGCGCTCTCCACGCCTGTGGGGGCGGGGGTGCGGGGATGGGGGGAGAGACGGTAGGGAGATGGGGATGGAAGGAGTGGTAGGTAGGATTGGTGGGGTGGCGAAGGGATGCTGACGAAAAGGGTCAGAGAAAAACAGGGGAGGAGACGGGTTCATGCAGGTGGTAAGCGGGACGGGGTGCGGGAGAGGACGGGGGGGGGGGGAGGGGAGGTGGCTGATGAGGTAGAGTGAGGGGAGGGCGGGGTGTAAGTTGTACCTGAGAGTGGGGAGAGGCTGAGATCGGGCGGGGTGGATAGGGAGGCCACGTGGCGAATGGGAACTTGCCCTGCTGACGTGTCATAGATGAAGCGCATGGGGATGTGCTGCTTGATGGCCTCGTCCGTCCAGATCTGATGGGCGACGCGAGGGGCGGGGAGGGGTGACGAGGGGTGAAGAGGGGTAATAGAGCGCAGGGAGTGTAAGGGAGTGGGAAGAAGGTGCACACGGAATGTTAGAGGCGTAGTGCGACTCAGAATTGCGTTACATAACATGGGTACGGAAATTGCGTTAGGTAACATGGGTATGGGAATTGCATGAGGTAAGGCACCAACGACGGCAGGGGTGTCCGGGGGAGGAAGGAAGAGGAGGGGTGGGCTCGGAGGGAGGGAGGACTGCGAAACGTACCTTGGGCACGGGCGGCAGAGGGAAGTGCTTTCCGCGGAAAGATGTGAGCTCGCTCACACATGACTCCGCTATGATCTGATGGTACACGCGCACACGCAGGGCTCACGCAGGGCACACGCAGGGCACACGCAGGGCACACGCAGGGCACACGCAGGGAAGCATTCTGATACATATCAAGAGCGCTTCGCCACTCACGACTTCATACATGAGAAGCCTGCCGCACATGCCGGCCGCACATGCCGGCCGCACATGCCCCAGCACACAATCCCTCATGTTGCGCGCGCTCACGGCACCTCGTGCAAAGCCACCGCACCCACAGCAACACCTAGCGCGCGCGCGCGCCTGGCACCTGCGAACCCGCCTGCCTGCCTGCGTCGCGTTCACGTGAGCAGTGAGTGCGTGCGCGCGTTCGCGTTCGCGTCGTCACGGTTTGGTGCGCGGTGGTGGCGGGCGCGCATGCGCGCGTGCGCGCGTACCTTGCAGCAGGCCTCGTCGGTGATGTGCGCGATCATGACGCGGTCGTACCCCGTTAGCGTGCGCAGCTCCTGCACACATACCACCACACGGGACGGCACGATGAGCTGGGTGCGTGACGCCGCATGGCATGACATGGCATGGCATGGCACGACATATCAAGCGAAGAGCACGCGGTGGTGCGGGGGATGGCCGGGCGCCGTGTTGGGGGAGTGCAATTCAGTACGCTTAGACGATTCAGAATTGCAGCGGTCCTCAGGAAAATAAGGAATACTCCTCGCAAGCAGCGACTGCTACGGATCCGCGCCAGGCACCCGCCACCAGACCGCCTTCATACATAAGGCCGCTATAACCCTGGGGGAAAGGCAAGAGGGCGCAAAGCGGAAGGGCGTTCTCTTCTTTCGAAGGGCGTTTTTCTTCACTTCCCTCCTCATTCTCTCTGTTCTCTTCTCTCTCCATTATCTCTCCTCGCGTCACCTGCGCGGCCGCGTCGCAGAAGGCGTGCACGTGCGGCGACACGCTGTTGATGCTCTGCATGCGGTCGATGGCGCGCCGAGCCAGCTGGTGGAACGGCAGCGACGGCGCCGCCGACGCCGTGCTCGGCCCTCCCGCCGCCGATAACGGAGGAGGCACGTCGACCTCCTGTAAATCTGCGCGCGAGGATTGGAACGGGCGCGGGAGAGGGAGGGGGAGGGAGGGGCCGGCAGATGGCAGGTGGGGGGGCGGGGGAAAGCGGGGAAAAGGTGGGGATGTGGAGGCGGTGTGAGTTGCGGAGGGGAATTCGGGTGTTTAGAATGGACAGGGCAGCGGGGGAGGCAATGCGCTGCGCAGCGACAGGATCCGCGGTGCTGCTCCCGCCGGCACGTGTGACTCCGAAAGCTGGACTCGGTCCTGCTCTACTCGGGAGCCAAGCCCTCAATTCCACTAAGCCAGCCTATATGCCGCCGCGTTACCCGCGAACTACCTATACCCGCCGCCGTCCCCGCCGTGTGCCGCACAACCCTCCGCAGTTATCAGCAATTCCGCTATCCGCTACTGACTATTCCGCTATCCGCTACTGACTATTCCGCTCCGCTACTGGCTACTCCGCTATCCGCTACTGGCTACTCCGCTATCCCACTACTGGCAATCCGCTTTCCCGCCACTGGCGTGAACAGGGCACCTTGCTCGTTGTCGTCTTCCACACTCAGCACCACCCCCGCGCCCGTGCGGCACGCCGACACGCAGTACGACTGCCCCGGTCGCGGCCCGCTGATCTGGCACGCGCTCGCGCTGTGCGCCGTTGTGCGCTGAACCAGCGCCTCCAGGTCCGACAGCGTCTGGGGGAGATCCGTGACGCGGAGGACGGGAAGGGGAAGGGGAGGGGAAAGGCACAGAAAGGACGAGACGCGAACGACGAAGACTGAGACGGACTCGAGGGAGAAAACGAATGGGATCAAATAAAGTTGCGGTCAGAAGATGAATGTGAGCGCGTGATTGTGAACAAAAGAAGCCGAGGAGAGCACGGTTGATGACGCGTGGGGCTAAGCAGGAGGGGCGCCAGAGCGGCGGGCGATGAAAGCGCAATGGCGCCGTGTGAGAGCGACAGGGGCAGGGGCAGGGCAGGGGCAAAGGTGCGCGGGAACCTGAGAGGTGGTGAAGACATCGCTGAGGTGGCGGCCTATGACCGCGGACGCGCCCTCGTGCTCCGACACCACTCCGCCGGCCGCGCGCACGTCGGGGATAAAGAGCAGTACATTCTCGCTCGCCGCCACCACCTGCCGCGCACGACAAGAGCGCGCGCGAGGGGAACTATGGGGAACGCGATAACGGAGAGAAGCTCGGAATTGCGTGAATTTGAAACGTGGGAGGTCAATAGGGATGGTCGTTGGTCCGTCGTGGTTCTTGCTGGATAGAAAAGCAGCTAATAACCAGCTAGAGCAGTTAACTCTAAAGAATTTTCCCAATGCTCGGTCTAGCGACGCTACAATCTGCTGAGCGCAAGTTCGTACGGCCTTATTGTCTATTAGCTTAAGTGCTAAGGATGCGCACCTTGCGCGACTTCTCGTCTAGCACAAGCACGGCGCCGCGCGGCTGCGCGGTGACCTCTGCTACCACGGTCTCCTCCGACGCTGCCTCGTTCGCGCCTCCGGCCTTCCGCATCGCCGCCATCGCATTCCCTTTCTAATGCTCCGCGGACGTCGCTAGCTTAAAGAGCAGTCCGCGCGCACAGCGCGCTGCGACGCAGACGGCCTGCTTGCATACGCGCTGGTCAAGAATACTCGTGTCGCATTTGCGCATCTCTGCAAGCGGACGTCTGCATAGACTGGAAGGTACAAACAAGCGTACTAAGGACCAAGGCGACACACAATACGCAGAAAGAGAGTAACTCCAAGGTGCTTCCTCCCTGAATGATCTGATTCTGCTGACATGAGTCTGGGTTGGATTTCAGGGAAAACCTTTCAACCGAACTGAAACAAGTAACGACCCCGAAGTTTCCCGGTTTTACTCCTTCCTCCCCTTCCTCCGCACTAAATCGCCGCTTGTGGCTTCGCAGCATTCATACAGTCAGTCATGTGCGTGTTTATGGAGCTCCCGATGGGGGCTCACAACACATGATTATCGAGGACTTCGCAACGTAAAGGCTTTTCGATTCGAGTTTGGATATATGAAGGCCACATATTTCCCGAAGAGAGTTTAGGAAACCCGGATGGTGGAGGTTCCAGATCGTGTACCTCAAAAACTAGGCATTTTGCGACTTGTGTTCAGGCCTGGACCACTCCCCTAAAGCCGGTATCATCGGGGGCTTGGAACGAGAGAACAGAAATTTGAAAGGCTTCGAAACACGAGGTGGCTGGTATCAGTTTCGTGACCTTTTCCAGCGTGTTATGTGATAGAAACACGCTAATCACTTGGACGACTCTGTCTATGTGTCTGCAAAAGGCTAACCCCCCCAGCTTCGAAATTCTACGAATTTTACTGTGGGGAAGTCTGCAATGATATCCAAGAGCGAATTATTTGACCTGATCCTTGCGACATGGACGAGAACAGAGCTCGACCAGAACTGAGTTTGTGACATCACAAGCACCGAGCAGGAAAACCATCTTGTGGTATCCAAGGAGCCCTTGAATGTAGGCCCCAGATTCTCTCTGAAGGGCAATCGCAGGTCTGTCGGACTGCGAACTGCTGTTCTCAACATCGAGGCGGCATTGGCTTGATTTCTCGTGCGATACACATTCTCAGCAAATAGGTCTTCTCCATCACATGTGCCACGTCATAAGATACGTCAGGATGATAGAAGATAGATCACCCAAAATCGACTCATGCCAAGTGGGGGGAAATCGACACAAAGAACCGTGAAGGAAAAACGACAAGAAAGAGAGCAGTTCTGCTGCCCCTTTGAGCGGGCAGAGGCAGCCCCCTCCAACAAACACAACTTCGGTTACGGTACAAGTACGAACAAGAGAAGGGAGAGAGGAGATAAAAACCATGACGTCTGTAATCTACATCTGCTACATAGTTCTGTGACATTATATCTGTATAAGCAGTGCTGTTTAGACACTAAGCACAACTCTTAACATTTGCCTTGAAGACATAAATTAGAAGAAGAATTTGACACGCCAGAAATATCGTGTTCTCCCTTTTCTCGCCTTATCCATTCAGTTCACCAAACCTTGTGGCTCTAAATTCTTGGAAAGCCGAAACGTAACCACGCGTAAATCATTGCAGCAGCGTAATATCTTCGGAACCCTTGGCTCTCGATGCCCAACAATCAATGTCTCGTGCGGTCATTGTCAGTAGGCACCTGCTTCTCGCACCCCGCAGTTCCAAAATATTGGTCCTTCAATCCGAATATCCACTGTAGGCACCTCCATTCAGTCACGGGAAAAAAAAAATCAAATTGGTTGACTCGAGAAACTTAAAACCAGGGTGCACATTCAACGCGGTTCGGCTTGAGATGTTGGGAAGGGGGTTTGGAGAAAAACAGTGATTGGCTCACGAGGGGCGACAAAAAAATGATTCCGCCAGAGCTTCGGGCATTTCGTAGGTGGCGGGAGGGGGTGAAATGGCGGGAGTGGGAGAAACCGAATGGCGGGAGGGATGAAACAGATTGGCGGGAGGGGGGGGGATCGAAATTGCGGGGGAGGGGGGAAACAAAATTGCGGGGGAGGGGGGAAACGAATTTCGACGGGGAGGGGGAAATGAAATTGCGGGGGCGTGGGGAAACGAAATTGCGGGGGAGGGGGGAAACGAATTTCGACTTGAAGGGGTTGAAAGCACACCTCGTAACCCACTCAGTCAAGGGATAACCTTTGATGCACATTCAGCTGAATGTGCACCACGGTTTTAAATGAGATGTGTGGTCCTAATGCCGTGCTTTTCCAGCACACTGATATTTTCATATTTGTCTAAATATGTTGCATTCTTTCTCACTTAGAAGTACATGTAATTATTTGTTCTTTTTTCTTATTTGTTTATAGTGAATGACAGGTGAGTGTTTATTTTTTTCAATAGCAATCGCTGCCATGAATCCATAGTATCAGCAACTAAAAAAAAACACTAAAACTACTCAGGTAAAGTTACAACTGGTGGTGGTCTGGTCGATGCAGCATGGATGCATTTAGGCGGTCTAACATAATGGCGGTCCACTTGCGGTCCATCAACAACAATGATGGAGCAGAGCTCATGCACACTGTGCACTAAAGCTGTGTGACTTGCAGCGCTGTATAACAGTCCCTGCACTGCATTTTTACTTAGATATTTCGTTCCTCATCTGCCTGCGCATGCCCACCTGCCCCGCCCAGTGGACGGTGCGTGTTAGTGGGTGGGGGTGGAAGAACAGGGGAAGGGACAAGAGGAGAGGAGCGAAGGTGCAGTGGGGAGGAGCGAGGACCCATAAGACAAGTGGGAGGCAGTGCGAATGCAGTGGTGAGACTGGCAGATGCCTCGCTGCAGTTACTCTTCTCCCCAGCACTGCTTACACCACTAGCGCTGCTTCCGCCGCAGCAGCAAGCGGTGGCATGTGAGCAGCAGCGGTGGCGGGTGCCTCACCAGCAGGTGAATGGCGATGATGAGCCGCGCGCGCATACGCCAGCGCCATGCCTTCAACCATGTGACAGGCCCCACTCACACCTTCATCAGCAGCAGCAGCGGCGGGTGCCTCACCGCGCATACGCCAGCGCCATGCGCGACTCCCCCGGCTTCCTCCCCCCCCCGCCCCTCCCCCCCTCTGCCTGTGCGCCCCTCCCCCCCTCCGCCTGTGCGCCCTTCCCCCGCACAGGCAGCAGAGGGACGTCCGGTGCTGCCACGGGCGTTGGGGGCATGGGGGGAATGAGAGAGGGGGATGTGAAGGAGAGTGTGGGGGTTGAATCGCGGGGGAGAGTGGGGGGATGGGATGGAAGGGTGTGAGAATGGGTGAACGTAGGGCGTAGTGATGGACGCAGTGAGGTAGGGCGGAGAACAATGCACTCACGCAGCGGGCCGAATGTGGAGGAGACGAGGCGAATGAGATGGTTCACGACACGCGCCAGCTGGCGAACCAACTGCATGGGGCGAGGGGGCGGGTTGGGTGGAGGGGATCGGTCAGACGGTTCTGGTGGTGCAGTGATGCGGATAGGAGCATCATCCTGTTCACATTGCTCATGCAACAATCCCTAAATCATAACACATGACACCACATGACTGTAGCACCCCATGTCATGGCATGCCATACATGGCATAGCATCACCTCATCCAGCGGTGGGTCCCAGAACGAGCTCTCCTGCATGGCTCTTAGCTCTCCTGCACTCGCTCCTTCTGTGCTCTTAGCTCTGCCTCCCCCTACCCTGCACGCACCACCACACCGCACCACATATGATGTGAGAGCCGCAACACAACTCGTTCATGCATGCCTCTTTACTGGCGTGCCTCCCCACACGCAATTCTCTTCAAATGCACAGTCTCACCACGTGCACTAGAATCCAAACCACCGCCATCATCACCACCGTCACCCCCATCACCACCGTCACCCCCATCACCACCGTCACCCCCATCACCACCGTCACCCCCTTCACCCCCATCACCCCCATCACATCACCCCCATCACCCCCATCCACCCCCATGAGCACCGGTGTCGCATGCGGCACCCATGTCGCAACGCATGGCCTCCAGCAGCGGCACCTCGCGCCTCAGCTCCTGCACACATGCATGCATGGCGGCAACACAGGTGAGAGGTGGACCGTCAGCAAGTGGGTCTGAGGTGGACCGTGGGAATGGCCTCAGGCAGCAGCAGCAGCAGCACCTCGCGCCTCAGCTCCGTCCTCATAACTGGGGTTGTGTGGTGGTGGTGTGGGAAGGGGGGGGGGGGAGAGGGAGTGTGTCTTGTCTTTCACCCAAGAGATTACATTACAGTAAGGCATGGTACAAACAAATGAAGTGGCTTCCAACTAACCCAAGCCAGATGAGCACAGTGCTCTCTGAAGCCAGTAGATGCAACCTCAGCAACACAACACACTACCACACGACCATGTGATACGGTAGGCTGACACACTTGCTGAGTGGACGATGTATATATCTTGCCAAATGGTGAAGCAGCTTGTGCAGTTGTCGATGAGATGAGGATGAGTGCAGGAGGATGGGATGGGCTGAGTGTCAAGGGAAGGAGGGTGAACACAGAGAGAATGGGATGAGATGAGATGAACACAAGGCAAAGGACGCATGGGCGCAGGGGGATGGGATAAGCACAGGGGTAAGGGGTGAGCTGAGGGAAGGAAGGATAAGCACAGAGCGAATGAGGAACTAGTACAAGGCAAAGGAGGGATGAGCGCAAAGGAGGGAAGGGATGAGGGAATGGGGAAGGGAAGATAGAATGGGGAAGGGAAGAAGGCATGGGGGAAGGGTGAGGGGAGGGTGGGGGATGAGCAGGGGGAAAGGTTGAGTACAGGGGAATGAGGGAGTGCAGAGGGAATGAGGGATGAACACAAGGGGAATAGGGGATGAGTGCAGGGGGGAGAAGGAGGATGAGGAATGAGGGAATGCGGGAGTAAGGGGAATGCGGGACAAGTGCAGTGGGGATGAGCGGCAAGGAGGGACGAGGGATGAGCTGTGGGGGAATAAGAGGTGAGCGCAGGGCGGAAAAAGGATTAGAGCAGGGGGGAAAAGGGATTAGCGCAGGGGGAACGAGCGGTGAGCGC